TATATAGAACGTATATGGAAACGTTAATAATAAATATACGGCCGTCCAGAGGCTGTCAGGACACTGGGACAATAATATACAGGAGTGTACACTAATATATAACTAAAATATTATAGTCCAACTAGGCCAAAGGTTAAGATTTCTCTCTTTATCAGGTTAACTTGTAACAGGCTAATAGTTATTTTCTGTAATAGTAGTAAAAGAATCGCTCAGACGGAGACTCCGTCGTATACCAATACGGTAGTATTCAAAACCGTGTGCGCTGGTACACATACTGTAAAATGCAGCCCCTTCCGACTATTAAAAATATCAAACCTTGCGACACGCTCACTCCCTTCTTTTATATTATGGTAATTTTTGTGTTCACTAATTTATTTAATACCTAGCATCAAAAACCCGCCAGTTTAAACAATTATTCGCCATGTTATGTACGTATCTACCCAGAAACAATGACAACCCATTCTTTTTTAAGTAAACTAAACAATACTATTATTTTTATTAATATTGGCTATATTGCTACATGTTATGTACAATCTTCGCAATGGTAGCGATGATACGAGAGTATGAAAGTCCACCATTTTTAAAATCCATACATCAATAGTGTTATAGATAGTATGTGCGCATTGCTTTGATATATTTTCACAAATAATAATATTCAACAACAGTAAATTGCTTACCAGTGCGTCGAATAAACTTTTTTATCCCTCTGTGATCATACTTACTTAAAGTCATAATTTGCGTTAACCTCTGCCAAGACGAACTCGATCAGATCAAAACGTGTAAGAGCCTGATTCAGCATGTCCTCCTCCATTTCTCGTGGAATATTTGGGAACTGAATTAAGTGCCTTCTGTCACTAGGCGGTGCTGCCAGCTGAAGCTTGTAGTGGGCACGTGACATATCTAAGGCCTGTCTAAGGTCGGTCAGGTACTTGTCAAGATGGTGCGTTTTTGCAAGTGATTTCGAATATAAGCTATACCGAATTACGTTAAGTGTCGATATAATGTGGTCGCTGTGCTTAAGCAGATCCGTTTCCACCCCGCCGGGAAGAAAGGCCGCGGTATAGATTAACTCCTGGTGGTCCGCAAAATTCGAAGTTGTGTGTACCAGCTTCCGCCACTCATCAATCAAAAACGCACGAATGGAGGAATCTTCAAAAGACTTAAATAGCGATTTCACTATTTCCAGTTGAAAGTCGGGCAAACACTTCGAGTAGAGTTCTCTCCAACACGACAACGCGTACTCTCGAGCTTCTGTAAGGGAACAAGTTGTGATAACTTGGAGAAACGACCGAAGTAGACGACGTATTGTGAGCCTGATTTCGTCATGCTCTGCACAGTTTTCGATGTAAGGCAGGGCCGCTTTAATGAGATACAGTCCCTTCAGAACATGCATATGCTTTGGTGACGTGGTTAACGCAAGGCTAAAGGTCAGGAGAAGATCTGCGAGCACACTGACTGAGTAAACTCTTGGAAAATCGCTGTCTAAACAAAACACTATGTAACAAAATACTGCCCCACTAATAAATGGCACGGCCAATTCATCGTGCTCAGTTCTTCGTTCATTTACACGTTTACTCAATCGAAGAAGCGCGATCGGATCGACAATTGAGTTCAAATCGTTTTTCAACCGAATCGCCAGACTATGCTGTGCGCTTGGTGATGATGTTGGCTTTTTTGGTGGGCAAAGATCCAGAAGTCCAAGTGTGGATTCCATTGGCGTTACGATGTAAGAGCCGACCTTCAATGCATTTGTCCCACGAAGAATATCGCGGTAGTCTTTTTTAACGAACCGAAGGTTATCCTCAAGAAAATCGGCAACCACCCGATAGCGCTCGTTAATTGTGCGCGCTTTTTTGTTCGTATCCATAAGAATCCGCTCCTCGGCATTATCTAATTGCTCTTCCTGTGGAGGTGATAGTGTTTTAAGCGTGCCACTCAGAATTTCTAAGGCTCCAAGAATCCTTGCCAGGTTCGGTTTCAAAGCAGTATTCAGCAACTCTGTGACCAGCCTCGCAATGCGTTCAAACATGTAAGTAGTTTTAATTTTTCGTATGGCAGTGAGGCAAATCATGATTAGTTCTTTTGGCGTGATGTTTGAGGTTAACTTGTGCAGCATTTCATCGATGATTTGCTCACTGCCGATCTCTTCAACAGCTGGTAAAACATAATTTTTCTCCAATCTCTCTTGTCTCTCAGATTCCATTAACTTATAGTTGTCGACGGCATAAAAAGCCTTCTCAATCAGTTCCCAGCTTGTCGTCCCCAGAGACTGCTCACCTTGTTCGTCGAGCAGGCGCAATACATCGGAGTACTGATGTGCGTCCAGAGCTTCAGCAATCGAAATTTCCCAGGTGTCTTGAGGTGTCCGGTGTTGGAAATTCAAAGTACGGAACAAGTTCGATTGGATTATTAGGATGCAGTTTAAGAATTTTTTTTGTCGGCTAAATATTGTCCCAGAGCTGTATATTGCTGATGTATATTACACATATGAATGATGCATAATGCTTTATAAATGATTACGTAAACAACGCTCCTTTGAATGGTAAGGATGCTAGTTCTACTTAAAGCGTTATAAATCATTAAAGTGTTCCACGTATATCAAAAAATACACTTAATTTTAAGTTTATATTTTAAACTTATAAGTGGTAATAGCGATTTGTAAATAAGCAATTGATCAAAAAATGAATCATAAAAACTATATAGTTGTGTGTTAATCAAATTATACTTGAGCGGATAATCGAAAGTATAAGCAGCTAATTTAAGTCTAAAATTTTCACTTTATTACCGTTTACTAGCGTTGACGACTGGTATCTCGTATACTATAGCCGTTTGAAAAGATTCAGGATTTCATAAAGAAATTGTAAAAACTCTGTATGTTCCGAGTGAATGTAAGACCGTTAGAGCTACCTTCTCATTCACCCTTGATCATAATAGCGCAAAAGATTAAAGAGGAAAAATAATTATGTCATCTTACACCCATGGTCGTTGTAGTCTTCTGCCTATATTCTATAACGTACTATCGACTAATTTAATTCACTTCTCTCTATTACGACGAAACAGTTTATTATGGAGTAACTTACTTCAATTCATTAACGTCTACTAAGTTCGAAGCGTATTCTTTCAGCTGCACTAGTCAACAGACAGCAACTTTGAACATATCAACGAACGCGTCTAATATCTTAAACAAACTCGGACAATTAAAAGTATAATTAATATGAATCATACCATCACTGTCACGCTGCATTGTTTTCTCGCGCGCTTCTATTATTTGTCGTCAAGTCACTCTAATGCTGGATGTAGAATGACACTTTTATTTTCTCTCACCGGTTTGAACGTTCTAATGTTTCTTTTAGAACAATTTTGAATTTGCCCGCCCCATCGTGTTTTTCTCACTAACTGTGTAAGAACCACAGTAGTTTCGGTTTCAAAGTCACCCGTTTCTTGGTCGTCATTTCGGAGGTTGGTTTTACAACTTTTTCGCGAAAATGACCTACTGGAGACAAGCCGGAATCACGTAAGCGACTTCTCGGAAACGCCTACATGAATAAGTTTGATATTAATTATTTGAACACAGCAAATGACCCGGACTGAACTCCCTTAGTCCAACTAGCTGCTCTCAAAGCTTGTGACTCTACGAACAGTAATTTATGTAAACTACCAATTTAAACTAGGAATATCATGTGCCTCTTTGACATAAATACAATATAATAATAGGCTTCTAATGATGCGCATATAAAACTTGGTATGTGTCGTTTCGTTCTGAGCCAAATTTTTTAGACTATTAACAATTGCAGTTGTGACTTAGATTCCATTTCTACATGCTAGATAGAACACGTTTAACGTATCACACTGTGACGAAAAATTTAAAATATAAAAAGCAGAGTCACTGTGCGATTTATCAGATTCAGCAGTAAACTATAGTTGAGCACCATTCGATAGAAACTCTTTTTGTGTCTCTGTTTTGCCTTAGATAACCCAAAATCCAGAAAAGTGGACAAAAATATTCTCGAATTCCAAAGTAAGAAGGTGGTGATCAAATGTTCTACCATTGTTTATAAGAAGTTTGAGCTCTGTGCAATATAAAGAAAACTGCTTAATCAGTTTGATGTAAAAGGCGTTTTTCCACAGTATAGTATATTTGCTACCACTACACAACACGCTTGAATCCTGCAAGTTCAAAGAGTTTAAAGGCAAATATTGACATCAATTAATTTAATTTTTCTCAATTTTTTGCAGGACTTCTGTGAGGCATTGCATGCCACTATACCGCTATACAAAAAATATATTTTTGCTAATTGATCTTGAACAGTGTTTTACATTTGTGAAAAATGAAGCGATACATTGACTAGCGTAACGTAATTCGTTTTGTATTTTGTTTGTATCTTTGGCTATTTCGTTTTGTCGTGCAGGTACTTGCGATTTTCGTCAATTGCTTCAGAGGCGGTAAAGGCGTGCATTAAGAAAGATGCGAAGGCCGCAATGGTTTTCCCATCGACAATCAAAAAGACAAACTGGAAAGATGGGAAACCCATTCGTAAGTTTCGATATTGTTATTAGCATACGAAAAATAACCGCATGAGGGCGATGACGAGGCAGTTAATATTTTTGTTATATTATCTATAAATTAAGTGGTAATTACATAAATATTAGGCCAGTAATATGTCGCATTTAAATTGAAGGCTGTAGATGAATATCTACGGTTTTTTCTACTTGAGCCTATATGCATATGAGTTGCTTAGCTCTGCCATTCGGTGCAAATAATAAAATATGAAAGGCGTGACCTGCTAGCTAAGATGGAGGAAATATTTCATGCGAATTTTGAAATTGAAAGTGTGCACACTTTTCGCTGTTATAATACAAGGCTTCGTAATAATTGTTTGCAACCCAATCAGTACAACGTATGTATAATTATGTAAAGTGTTAATTATACCTATTTAATATACCAATGCATGAGATACTAAGCAAATTTTAAAGAAGGTTTTACTTATCTTAGAAAACAATAGATTTTTGTTGTGCTAGTCTGATTGTTAAGTAATCGATATAATTCGAGAACTGAAAACGCTCAAAATCCTTATCTTATAATCGAGTATGCCCTAACGTTCTTAAAAACAGGGCAGCCAAATATGAAACAGCTGTCGTTGTCCGGATAAGACTTACCGTTTTCTAAGTAGTATGAACTGCTAAATATCTTATTTGAGCTCTTGGTCTACTTACATATTTGGATACCCTTTTACAGCTTTGTCTGCACGAACATTTGTTGTGGTTGTGTGTTGTAACTAACATTCAACTTGCTACCTGCTTGTTATTTCCTCCGTAGGCGTGCCCAAACCTGGTAAGGTGCCGTTCAGCGACCTCATACGTTCATTTGTATACATTCCAACACATTGCAGACACACGCATTCGACACTGACCCGATGGAATTCATATTTGGAAAACTATCTATGAAGCCCAACACATTAACATTCTTTTTACAAATAAAAATCGTTCCCATTTTTTCCAACTACTCGAAAGTCTAATGAATCGTAGAGTGTTCACAGCCTCGAAATAGAGGGTGTGCTTTCTTAGGCTTTTTAGTTCTGTTTGGTTTCGGTACGCACTTACTTTTCAGGGCATGCGCCAGGCCCATATTGATATCACGACTATATTCGCGATTCCTCAAATACTCACTTCTCTTCATTGAACTAGTTTCTTCAGCACTTTTACGACACACATATGGTTCTATTTATTTGTTACAAACGTATATATAAATAGAGTGTGATCTATCTGTGTTCCTTTTCATATTTTATTTGTTTGAATTTTGATTTTGAAATTTAAAGTGTCAGTTCTATCTATCATTTTCGTTCGATATAATCTTTGTTCACTTCGATTACAAATTCAACTTGTGAGCTAAATCTATCTTAGGTTTGTTTTAGGGCTTCCCTTAGAATCATACGAACACCTCCTTGGTAGCACAAGTGAGCGAGTTGACCTTGTGATCTTAAGGCTTGTTAGACTTACCATCAGTAACGTTTTATACACAGTAATCTAGCGGGTTCAAAATTAGTGTGTGGGGCCGCCATATGCGCTTTTTCCAAACTCAAACCCTTTGGTAGTCAATCCTGTATTAACTGGCTAGTATTTCGCGAGATATTATATTTCTGGGTGGAGTATAGCTTTCCTTCAGGGACTTCATTTGTGCACGATCGTAGAAGGGGAGCATATACATAAACTTGGAACTTAGTGAAATAGACAGATTCAATTTTCCCGGAAAATCACAGTTGCCTGGTCTCACTGGACATTACACTTAGAACATAAACATAAATCGAAAAAAAATTCTCTCCGGGATCTTGAGTCTCAGAAGTTTCAGCGGCCTCAAAGGATATCTGTTTGACTTGTATGACAAATTGCGTATACCTGGGGCCTTTGCGAACAATCCATAATATGGTAGCCACAATCCATAATATGGTAGCCATACCCACATATGATTCCTTGGCTAGCCGTTTTACCAAGACAGAAGAATTATCAGATTATACTTTGTAAAGGTATCGATTAACTCTGTAATTTTCGCTCTTTGTCTGTTGAGGACTACGTTGTGCTACGGTAGAATATAATTCTGCTTGCTACGCAGATCTATAGTTGCGATGCCGTACATTGTTTGTGAAGTAACCAAAAAAGGCTGTTATCTTAGTAGTGTTTTGTTCAACGTGAAAATCCTGGATAATAAGCTAATTCTTTTTTATGTAAAAAAAAACCACGAAGAAGAGTGCCTTATCATCATAATTTGAAAAGTAGTTATTATCCGGTTTCTTCGTTTGCAAGAAGCTTCCCTGCTTTTTTACGAAATCGAAAATCCACATTCTTGCTAATTTTTATTCGGGTTCCAGAAATTAGTGACCGTTTTCTAGAAACGAGTATCTGTCGATTGGATTGTCCAGACAAGGTTCAATAATCGAAATGAGTGGAGGCTATATTAAATAAACATATCGTAAGGCATGACACTTAGCATACGCAAAAAGAATTATTTGAAACTTTTTCCTCTCAAAAAGATATTCCTCTTAAAAAAAAAACCCAGTTTGAATGATACACTCTATTATGCACAGGGTCTTTACCGGCATAAGAGCAAATACAATTCAGTATGTTTAGAATACAAAAAATAACAGCGCAGATTATGATACAGAAACAGACCGGCATGTACACATAACCGACGAAATCGCAAGATGGCTGAGTATGTACCTTTTTTATTTACTGTATTTTAATTCGATTTGCTATGATTTAAGCTCCTGTAGTGATAACATTGTTTTGAGTAAAAAAGCGTTGTCCCATTGTTTGAGTTTTCTATTTACAAATATAGTTTCAAATTTATAATAGTAATAGTTCGCGAAAGACTGATTCGTAATTAAGTGCAGTTCTTTTTAGTGATTGGCTTATAGTTTTTTGTGTTCTCGATTGAAAGCGGCGAGGAATCAAGCTGTGTAGCGTACTAATGATTGTTTTCAATTTTGTCTTTCAGGCGCAGAAAAGTGATTCGGATCAGTCCGCTTTTTAAATCAGTTATGTATATTTAGAGAAAGCGTTCAAAATATATGGAAACATTCTAAATGATCCAATCGTGTTATTAGTGAAATTAATTTAACAAATTTCCGTAACTTATGCAGAAGCACTAGGGTCTTTAAGTGAAAATCACATTATAAAGTTTGAGTCAGTACCGAGAGAACAACTTACAGAAAAGAAATTAGCCTTAAAAGTTGCTAAAAGTTCACAAGTGATATAGATCTCATCTCATTCAGAAGAATATTAGATTAGGAAGAAACCTTTTTTCATCACATAGAAAAGCCCACTTGTTTTATCCTTGTGGCAAGAGGTGAGTATGTTATCGATTCCCAATCATTGTTTACGATATTCTCTCGTCTTTCCACTAAATGTTGTATGCCGTCTCGCTAGAAATTACCGGATTGTGTCGCGGAGAAGCTCCCCATCCGCGTTTGATCCGTCTTTGATCTGTTTCGAAATAAAGCCTACGATTGCTTAGTGAAAGGAAACTATGGAAATTCATTGGCGCAATGTCCGGAGAATATGGAGGATGCAGCAAAGTAACTAATAGGAAGTCTAGGACAATAGCGTTCCCAATTTTTGATGTGTGTGACCGTTGTTGTCATGGAGTTAAATAAACGTAACGTTTAACTGTATGGTTTGAAGGACACAATTTTTCTTTTTTAGTGAACTAGGTTTTCGCAATCCCACCAAATTGAAAGCATATCCTCCTTGGAATTACGATTTAATTGAACCCTGGGCCTTGGCTACTTTCCTGGAGCTATCCATTTCGATCACTGATGCACGTTGACGTACAAACACCGCTTCTCGTCGCCGGCGATAATGCTGTATAAGAATCGGTTATTGTGGCCGCATATCATTCGGTTATTGAACCGTGATTCCTCATCGTATTCAGGGGTATGAGGTACTCAAGCTCCAAGTTTCTGCGTAAACCCAAAAAGCTTGAAGCCTTGTAGCTGCAGCCCATCTTTTCGGCCAATCCACAGGTTGTTTGCCGCCCGTCCCCCTTCAAAAATGCCTTCATATGATAGTCATCAGACACAGATCGTCAGTTCCGGATACCGTTTTCACACTCGATCTTTAAATTATTTTTTTAGCGATATCGCCGTTACCGTACACAAAGCAAATCTCCCGAACTCCTTCGGTAACGTTTTCGTTTCAATGAAATGCATAATACAAAGTGTTGAAAATGCACTTTTTTACCTGGAATATCTATCTTTAAAAAATTCTTTCGAGTTGAAGGCGCAGAACATAATACCGTTGATGTACTCTTAGCGGACAAAATGTTTCGAACGGTATGTCAGAAATAAACAACGAGAAAAGGCAAGCAAGAAGAGCTTTTTTAAGAAGGCTAGAATATAATTGATGAGATTCTTAAAGCGTTAATTTCACTATCGGTGCTGTGCATTGGTGGTGCAATACACTAACTTATTTGCTACGAATGGAGCAACAAATCAAGCATAAATGCTCATCATGGCCCAAATTAGCCAGCTCTTGGGATAGAAACGGTAAGAAAATTTCTACAGGAAATTCACACAATCTAAATTTGAAATAACCAACGTTTATTTCTAAGTGTTAAGGTATAGTACATTTTTTATCCACTGCTTGCTCACCCGCACCAATCTTTTATAAATTCAGCCGAATGGAGCTTTTTTTAAGCTCTTGTAACTAAGTACAAACTACAGCGTTTATGATGTGCCTTCTATTTTGTATGTTCTGTACAATGATAGTAATGAATTTTAGGTGAAAGATTTGGTGCCATTTATGTCTTGGCTAACAGTTTTTGGCTGTTCGCAGGCATAAGCAGTATGATAGATTTCATGCGTAAAAACGTGGGTTAGTCACATTTTTTCCGGTTCATGAAAATAACCCCCAGAACGGTAGGTAACAAAATTGCTTGAAAAATAATCGTCTAATTGCATTTTTCGGTAACAAAGTAATCCAACGTGAAAAATCACTGACGCGGGAATCTTCATTATCTGATTTCCTCGTCGGATTGAGTCGTGGGAATAACATGAAGTACGCACTGGACAAGTGTTGTGATATAACCTGAAATGCTCAAACATATTTCAAATTATTACTAAATTGGGCATTACTAAACAAAGCGATAAGGAGATAATGCTGTTTACTTATCAAGCCTTATTGTCAGTGCGTAGGTGTAATCTATGTTTCTTGTTTGACAGATCTATTTTGGAGAGATCAACTTTTTGTTTGATAAATCAAGTTGCCATCACAAAATACCTCGGGGGTCCATTTAAAACGTAGTTGTTTCGAAAGAGCATGAATATGATTATATTCAACAAACTCACGGTTAATGGAAAGTCTCAGCCTGAAGTGTACAAAGGGCACATAGAATATCAATCCAGAAGCCATGAAGGCGCAGGCGTAGAGGTACTCGATCTGCGGGTTTCGCACAATTGGAGCTACAACAAGGTAGCTAGCTACAATGCAAGTAATTATTGGAATCGCGATGTTCACCTAAACAAAGATGTTAGAGAAACGTAAGTCAATGATAACTTTCTCGACTACTTTTGGCTTTTAATAAAATCTGATTGTTTTTCATACTGTATTTTTGAAAGTTGACGAATCCTAACAACGTTTACCTTGTAAGGTCGGTGATCGTCGGGCCTTGTGAATCTGAACACAATGAGTGTAAAGGTGGCGAGTCCGTAGAATAACCAGGCTGCAAAACCGAACAGGTCGATGAGGCTAGCGATGTCACTGATCAAAATCAAGATGGCACCCAAAACACCCTGCGTACAAACAGACAAAATATCCTGGATCACCATGCTAGATTACTACACACAGTATGTAACATACATGGTAGTTACATGTACAACATGTTTGTCCGAGCCTCAAATTGAAAATAACGATAAAATTCTACGTAGGATTTGGAAGCTCAAATACTTCAATGTCAGTAATTACGATGTTTTTTCGGAAGCTTCACACATAGTGCCACGAATTTTTGCATTGGAAGCAACTTGTCCACTCGCTTTGAAGGTTTAAGTAATGGATTTTACGGTCTTAGGGCCCTACTTGTGTGCTTTCGTACCTATTTACTTAAGTTTGATAGTAGTAATCTAGCTCGGTAGACTTCGCTATTACTAAGTTATTAAGCTATTATTAAGTTTTGCTATTACTGAAAGCCAGCTTATGTTGTGCTGCTCATTTATGACCACTGAAGGTCATCTTGTAATTAAAAAAAAAAGTTATGTCAAGTCCGAGATCTAAGGATTAGCAATTACACTATAATTCCTTTATGTTATTGCGTGTGTAATGCAATATTTGTCGATAGAGGAGCCTCAACTGGTGACCATTTGTAAGTTTTTTAGCCAAAGGTTCTTTAAAAGGTTATAATAGAAATCGAATTTTTTATTTTTATCACAAATGAATCAACATTCCACATATAGTATCATGAAAGCTGAATTTAGTAGGTGCTTCAGTTTAAGGTGACGAGCCCATATGCATGTTTGTCAACTATGTTTTCCCATAATGTAGTGAAAGGTTGATGACACTTTTGATTAAATATTTTTGAATATTTTTAATTCGCCTCGCCTATTCATTACATGATACTTACGTTCACTATGAGTGCGGGACATGGAGTTAGACGATCCTTGTGTATGTATGAGAGCAAAGCAAGTTGGTGACCTTCCCGTGCCGCGGAAAACGAGATCCTCGAAGCAGTGAAAGTGGAGCCATTAGAAGAACCGAATGTTGAGGCTGCTACACATAGAGCAATGAAAGCTGCTGCAGAACCAAACACCTGGTTACCGAAACGCTAGGGCCGAAAAGAGTATATTAAGTAAAAGACGTAATTAGAACATATCAAAGTTGATTGGTACCAGGGGATCTAATTTCCTAAAGACATAATTAACTGCCTTAATGTAGCATACAATGACAGAGTATAATAGTAGAGTGTTAAGAACGCATCATAAGATATCCTGATGAGTTTGGAGGAGTTTCCTATATATATATATATATATATATATATATATATATATATATATATATATATATTTTGGGATTTAAGCGTAAAAGACCTAATAGACTTGACAGGTCAAAAGATAATAGTTCTCCTTGCTGTGATGACTATTCAAATAAGACACGTACAATATTTCTCAATGAAACAATTAAATTGGAGGAAAAATGCATATCGATAGCGATAGAAAGAATATCGAATTCTTACTACTGCAACAGCTTCAGATGCGAGGAATTCGACGCTGGAGAGGACAGTCAGGTAGGCGACGTTAATGAGTACATAGCATAGCGTTACCATAGGTATTGCAATCCAGATAGCGCGGGGAAGATTACTGGAATAATGACATGTAGACGATTCAACCATAGCTGTACGGCACAGCATCTCCGGATATATACAGTAGAGAAAAATTACTTTTTAGATACAAATCACGTTTATCATACCACAAATTTAAGTGAATTTCTTAGTATAAGGAGAGCTTCACTTTTTTCAATCAAATCTAACCCTCTATACATAGGTCCTTACACATAGGGGTTGATGAGCTCCTCAGTAACATAATTGAGGTTGTTCCAACCATCGTAAGCCCAGAGCCCAGAGTAGAACGCTGTGGCAATGTCGCTGAACGACGTGGTAGAGCCCTCAAAACCTTTGGCAAGATGCTCAATTCGCCCCATAGCTATCCAGTAGCAGCCTCCTAGAATGATGGCTACAATTGCAGACAGCTTCGCGATGGTAAACACCGTTTGAATACGCGAAGCAACACTGACGCTTGCACAGTTGATGTAAGTCACCAGAGCTATAAAAATAAAAATAACTGAGCTGACTAAAACTGACTTAGCGCATATTATAGATGTCGAACATAATATGATTTGCTGTGCGTGAACCAATTATTTTTTTAAAGGCATGCTCATTTATTCACGGATATTTTTCTGCGATTTAATACTTTTAATTACATGGTAATTAAATCAACCTGTGCAGTTCTGATAAACGTTCTGAAAAGAATTATGGGAGTTCTGATGGGACAGGGTATTGCACCTATTATTTTGCTGCCTAGGCAAATTGCTATTATAGATACAAAACAGCCCGTCTACGTCACGTATCAAATCACGTATTAACTGAGTGATATTATTTATTTTTTCTTTGTATTACCATTCTTGAGTAGTATCGTTCTCAGTGGAAATATCACAGATCTAGATAGATCGAACCAACAATGTATATATATTCGCGGTGTACTACTTCTGAATACGTTATTGCGCTAAATCATGCACGCACCGTGTTACATACATACCTATGCAGGCAAGCGCAATCAGTTTCATTGGCTCTTGAGGGATGTCACTGCATGTGAGGAAAAATGGGGCAACTAAGTATTTGGCGAATGAGAGCGCCATAATGCCGAGTGACGCCGGCTTGAGCAGGAGTACAAATGTCCATGCGTGAATGAAAGCTGGAATTGAGCCACCACAGTAGCCGCGGAAGCATTCGTAGATGTAAATATAGTCACCGCCACTTTTGTTAATAATTGTTCCCAACTCGGCGAAGCTTAGCGATCCGAATAGCGATAGCAGTCCGCAACCTGCCCAGACGACCAACGTCAGTCCAACGGACCCGGTCCGCTCAAAAACGCCTTTGGGCGACACGAATATACCTGAGCCTATTGCCAGAAGATAGACAGTTTGGGTTCCTTAGTTTCAGGGCGATCTTTGGGGCACATAGACGCGAACGCCGAATGTATAATATTGCACATGCTATTATTTTAATCAGCTGAATAGCTTTTTGTGTGCAGGAACAAAATGCTTAGGAAGCTCGCCAAATTTAATATGGAAATTAATTTATTATCAAGGACCATGAAACATTCGCTGACAGGAGTACGGAAAAAACATCGAATTCTATTTATCCCTCACTGTAATTAGTAAGATGCATCAGGTAAAAGATAAATAATGTGCTTACCAATCATCGTTCCGATGATTAGGGTCACTCCGCTCATAAGACCGAGAGTTCGCTCGAGGCGAGTACTTTCATCATTATCCTGGTGATTCTTACCAGGTTTAGAATCTGTTGCGGAGTACCGCCGATTATTACTATAGTCCGCCGCCATTCTGACGCCGTTGTGTTCACCTTTCTGAGCCTCTGTCAGCTTATGTACTACATAATGGGTAACACATACAAAAAAAGAAGGATAGAAATCATGTCAAATTATTAACAATCTAGGATTTGGAACGAATAGCATGGAATTGGATATGGGAACCTGCCTTTAATCTTTCAGAGAGCATTTCACTTAAGGTAACAGACAGTACTGCAGGCAAGCGGTGTTCGAGATGCCTCAACTGTAGTTTTACTTTAATAACCCATAAAATTTGAGTAATTCGCATTATTAACGCAAGCGGATATGAATTACAAATCGCTGATTAACGCTACTAGGTTATAAGTGAGTTCAAAGTAAATGTATCACCAAAGAATCTACATTTGTAAGAATCACTCCTAAGTAGAGACGGTTTGGTGTTCACTTTAGGTTCATAGCTAGCAGAAAGATGATTTAACTCTAAATCTAGGATAAAGCTGACATATCTGGCAAGCTCAATAATCTGTGGCTTGTCTTTGGGGTCGGCAGATATCGATTCTATTCTACTACTGAGGGACGAAAAGGTAAAAAGAGTTTTCAGGTTGATTGGGTACAATCTTTTTTGTTGCTAGGCAGTGTCCGAACATGCAATTTTTGAACCTAAACAGCATATGGATATCTGTATACTCCGTCTACTCGTTCATTCACGATATACGGAACGACCTGATAACTGAGTTTGTAATTGTCACCAGGACTTTTTTTAACAACAACTGCTTTCTTTCTTTATGATGCTTGGCTTAACCGAATAAAAGCAATATGTCTGACTGGAAAATTTAAGAACCATTAGGTTTAAGCTCTACGAAACGACATAACCTTACGCAATTTTTATCAAAAAAAAATTCATTAAAGCCCTGATCAGTGATGATGTATTTGAATCCAAGAGGAAATGTACGTGCGTCGGGGCTCAAAGGTTTTAGTATATAAAGGACTTCTTCTCCGCGCAACGAACCGACCAAATCTTACGTAGAGGGATTTTGTCCTTAAGAATAACGACTAGCATATGAAGCCTACAAATAAACTTCTTCAAGATTATGCAAATGGGAAAACTTTTCGAAGCGTACGAAGCAGAAGCATCTGGGTTATGCTCATATCGGTTGACAAATTAGGTCTCCTCCAGCATCTCCACATGTGATTCATAATAAGACAAGACATACTGATTTCACCATTTCGATGATGGACGTCAACCCATTTTCACACCGCAAGGATTTTCGCTTTGGTAAGATGTATATCACATAAGCCATGAAGCCGCTCGTCCGCCGAATGCGACGGTGATTAAACTAGATCGCAGGTCAAACTATTGAAAAGGTTGAGCGGAATCAAGCAATGACCTGTGCAATATACACTAAAAGCCAATACTCACTTTATAGAAATGACGTAATCTCATTGCCGTCGTGGGCAACCGCAGAATAATATGGTCTCACCCAGTTTTTATCTGTTATCCAATTTAGTTCTTAATCGATCGAGAAAAGTGACTTCGGTGCTTACTTATTGTTTTTATGTATCCATGTCGGATGGGTGTTTCCAGCATGAAACGAGGCCTGTTTGAACACGGTTTTGAACTTAGACCTCACTGTGGTAGGCAAATGCGTTCCCACTGCGTCCTCACGGGCATCTCGAGAAGAAATATTAGCGGACAATTTGGACTAGTAGGATACTGATCTGGATGATTAAAACAGTTAGATTAGTAATTGGGGCACGCTTCACAGGCAATCATACAGTTGATTTTACCCACGAGAACCGTTTCCTGGCGGATACGAATCACTGCCAGGCGTCAAAATAATAAAAAAAAGAAAGCATCCGAACATTAATCTAAGGAGGAGAATTCGAATGACAGAAGCCTCTGCAGCTTCACGGCGCATCCTATCTCCATGAAGTTCTACTGAGTTTTACGAAGTTGACTTTGACGGCAATTTCAGACGTAGAACGCAGAAGATTGCCAAAATTAGAGTTCGTCCTATGTGAATGATGCAAATACACGAGCAGAGCCATTTGAAATAGCGATTACGGACGTAAAACATCAACCACTTCTATGAAGGTGCACGTTTAAAGTCGTTATTTTAACGCAACAGCTGATCTATATTTGACGTCTTCTTTTCGCGACGTAAGATTTCCGATGGTCCGCTGCTTGTACAATCCGTTAGCGAGTAACATCACCTTGTAATTCTTTGTCTATGTTAAAACTGAGGCGAATTTAAATTTTCTGCGCATTCAATTACAAACCTGTGCGATTCAACTGACGGTAGCTATCAGACGCCGCAAAGAAGATCTCCTGTAGCTTCTGGCAAGGTGTCCCTCAAAAATAATCACTGCTCAATACTACGAAACATCATTGATTCAAAGGAATCGAATAATTAACCCGGAAAACTTATACTGGAACGGAGGGAAACACTCTGATTGAAGAAAGCCAGCGGCCTTATTTGTTATTTGTATTCCGTGATTTTATAAAAATCTATTCTTTCAGCCATAACGAACTACCGAAGCCAACTTTTCTTGTAGCATTGTTATTGCCAACGCTACACCGAACGTATTAGGGTAACCAGTGCATGTGCTATGTTTTTTCAACCATACAGGCGAACGGTAAAGCGCGATGAAGACACGTCACTCCAAGGTAACACTCCACCGTCGAGCGCGATGGCTTGCGAGAGAGCCCGAAACTTGCATCTCCATGGTAAATATATTCTACTGTAAAGATGAATGTAACAGGACGCCGACGATGTTACGGCCTATAGAATAAAGGAAGTGGGCCAATGCTGAACGTGACTAACGTAAATAAATTTATTTACTCAAACTCTAATATATGTATGTGTATATATGTGTGGTATTACTGTAATTTTCACATTAGGTATGTGCCACATGATGCATGAGAGCGATTTTTTTTAACTGAATTCATGACTTTCAGTAATCAAAACTGAGATTTAACATGCGCTTGATAAAGGCTGTAAATAAATAAAATTTGTTTTAGTACCGTACGAAATGAGTCGCATATGTGTAGTAATCATTGATATAGACTGAGCCGCACGATGTGTATTTTAAACTGCCAGTGTACAGCTTATGACCAAAATATCTATTTATAATCAGCTAAGTATAGTATACGTTTATGCTACTGCCGCAGCTTGACTAACCTCAATAGGAGAAAGCAGTTCTTTCTGGGGGTGCAATTTTTACCATAGAACAGTTGGCATTTTTATCAGTGTCGGTTCGATTGTTTAAAAGTAAACAAAATGAAAGAAATGTATGTTCAGTGAATTCTAATGATAATTATCCAACACATAACTGGATCCTTTATATCAGCTAATTAGGTTAGACGGTTTCTCACTGCCTCCGGATATGGGGACCACAATATAATTTCGAGTATTACTAATGTATCTACAAATCAAGCCGAGTCTGAACGAACCGAAAAAGGGGCTAAACCACAAACAGTACTTGGCATAAGTCGTAGGAGCCGCTGATCGACATTTGTATTACAGTAAAATGAGCCGACTATATGCTTCGTACTATCCATAATTAGACGCTTAATCATTTGGCTAATTGCTTTTAAGTAATGATTAAACCAGTATCGAATGTTGATCTCATAACTAGGACGTAAAGGCAAAAAGTGTTTGGAGTTGGTTCGATACGATAGGCTTCCGGCACGAAACGAATTTCAGCTCATTTTAACTTTCAACTCAATTTCAAGGACTTCACCTGTCTTTTAGGTTAACAAGCAAACACGTTACCAGTACACCATTGCCGGCACACACAGGCAAACCACCATACTACATTAAAGTCCAACTTTTTCGCCATAGTATATTTTCATATGTCATTTCCGCCTGTTTTCCCCATATGATAGTATGTTTGTGTGAATAAAAAGTTATATCTGTTAAAAAGCGTGAAACATATGTATATCGTCAAATATATTATAATTGTGTGGTATTTTTAAGAAAACCTTACAAAGGGATCGACCGCTACGTAAAACAGAAATACGGGCATTTCCGTATTTTAAGGCAATTGCTGGTGCGCGTCATGATTGTCGATAATCAATATGTCGCTGGTAACGAAATCACACGGTACCAACCGTAACACCTCAGTAATTGGTAGTTGTGAATATGTCTTTTTGTCCTCTTTCAGAGATCGTTCAGATTATCGCCTGCTGGGTTGAATACTCAACCCACAAAGGTGGGACGTCATACCATTGTTAGAACTTTTCTACTAGCCGTTGAATAGTAGAGATGCTTTCGTATAAGAATCGTATGCTTAGGGCACTCCAAGTCGAACCGCTTCTCTGGGTGCAAACTCGCATGCACTGTTTCTATATTAAAAGAACAACAAACAACGCAAGTCAACGCTTTGAACACTATAGTTTTGTGTTATTTAGTGCCTGGTATTTCGAATATTTTTTGGCCTAGATAGGCGTATTTATACTTTCTGGAAAAATGAAAACCCTTGGCTTGGTATAGTTAAATCAGTACAACGGTAACTGGCAGATACTACAGTTTTATATTTCCGTGTATGAGCTTCTGTGTTAGTCTATCAAACTCAGGAACGCACGGTTCGAAGCAACCACGCGTAGACAGACGTTTTTTCGCATTGAAAGGAGCCAACCGCTAGAACCTATGGTGTTTAATGCCAGTATCGGGCTTAAAACTCGAGACAGTTACGCTTATGCATCCGTAGCGAACGTGTTTATCAGGCAATGATACTTACAATAGACAACGATGCGACGCAATGGAAGGCGATTTGGTGATAAAAACTATTAATCCGCATTAGTCGCGAAGCATCGATACCATTTCTGGTGTTATCGATGTTCTCGTCTTGGCTGTCGCCACAAACGAGTCGAGCGCAACTTGGTAAATATGCGGCAGACTTACCCTTATTTCTGCCGGCAAATTTACTAAGAATCTGGTATTTGCCTATACTTCTACTTAGAACACGAATCTCATCATGATCTTCATTCTGAGAATGCGATAATGAACGTAGTGATATATTACGCGAAATGTTTACATTTTCGATCGAAAATATCAAACTAACAGGATTAACGGCCACTGAGGCAACGGCATTTGTCATCTAACGTATCAAACATTAAGTGATGACGAAGTCATGATAGGAAAAGATAATGAAACACGACGGATTCATGTCGGTTGCAATCGTAGCCCTGGAATCACATTGTGTATGACGTTCTGTTCCACGGGGTGAAACAAACAGCTTCGAGTAATTCTCTTCTTTAAGGGAAACAAAAACGAGATTATGGCAGTATTATTCATCGATTCACAAATTATGATAGTAGCTATCGAATCAATGCGATACGCAAAGCCAACGATTAACAAGTAGGATTATACGGACGGTCAAACGCTAGATCGATATACCCGCACGACTGAACGCACAGTCAACCTGAAGATAAGTATACGAACGAAGTCTTCAAATGCGCCTGAATACTTTCTTAGTGGATGAGAAGCGTGCTCGAACCATTGGACAAATTGCCTTTGGATGCAGCAGTCGTAACGGAAGAAAAACATGTCAGACAAACAAGTTTCCGCTAGGTTAATCTTTTTTTACATTTTTCAAAATACTGAGAAAGCTTCTAATCCTGGCTGTAGTAAGTAAATGGTCACAGACTGGCAGCTTTTAACCAAATTCAGGCGCTTGGATATTAGAGGTCTCAACGTTTGCTGTTTTTTTTATTACGATTATGTCTAACGATAAATGTTTTTGAAGATGAAATACAAAAGTGAATAATATATTTGGAAATGCATTTGATTTTCTTCGTTCCGTATATATAAGTAAGAACTTTTCCATGATACTGCAATTGCAGGAATTCTCTGTGCTTGACTGTATGGGGATCAGTCTGCTTTATTTGCGTGACCCAGGATAGTTATTGTCCAAGATCGACTTGCCTATGACGCGTATGTGGATTTATTTCACTGCATCAACCCATACGCTTAAAACTCGATGAGCACAAAAACGTAAGACAAAAATGTGGCTGATCTCTATATACATTTTATCATATTTTACCGAATCCCTTTTATATTATTATATATTAAAATATCTGGTAAAGTCTACGCTAGAAATTAATGTTTCGAGCTTTAGGTCTGATAGTGTCCTGTCCTGCTCAACTTCGTCAATAATTTCATCGATTCTTTTTTAATAACGAGCCGATTATGACGAGGAGCATTATTCATGTCGAAATTTCCAGAATAAAAGCGCCAGGAACATATTTAATCTGTTGTATCGATAACGCATTTTCACCATAAACAGCAGACATTCTTTAATAGGCCTGGACAGCATTTGCGCCTCCGTTATTATAAAATGGTAACAAGTAATGAATTTCTGCAGAATATCCATCTAGATTTAAGGTGCTTTATTTTTAGTCTGAATAAAGGTATTTCGGTCTTTTTACGCGAGCCATTGTCAAATATCGGCTTTCAGATGACACCAATGCCAATTTGAGTCGACGCATATTATCTGAGATTTCAAGGCAGTCGTGTTAAAAAATCGTTAATATCTGACCTTTCAATATATCAGATTCGCCTTAGAGAATATATGAGTTTATAGATAGGGTGGAGCTCATTTACATGCACAGTTCTCGATTACCTCTGATGCTGTTCATAATTGAAAAACTGTAATGACAATCCATATTGCGCCCACAGGAAATGACCAGGGTACATTACGAAGGCGCCACTGTGCCGAAATCGACACTAATATCTCTGTAAAAAAATGCTATGGCCCCCATATCGCAGGGTGTGGCACAGATGCACGATACAGAGGGTCAAACAAGCCGCAAACCGACGAAGCATTATTGAAGATGTCTAGAAACGTTATAGCACCTGAGTCAGACGCTCTAGCTAATCTGCGCCAGATCAGACTCACCACCAGACGTAATCACGCAGACTTTGGGCAAGTTGCGCTAAACCTTTGCCTGTTTGAGGAAGAGATGTCACGTTACTTTATATCGTTACACATCAGAGTTCATTAGAGGTGTGTCTGTAAGTTTCTATTAAAATGTTTGTTAATGAAGTGCCGTGATTTCCACGGTACCGTGGAAATGAGAGTCAATGAAATCAAATATATTCCACTTGTTCTCACTCATTATTTAGCACAAATACAGCATGATTAGAGTCGTAGGGGACGTTTCGAGCTTTATACTAATCGCCGTATATACTACTGAACAGTTTAGTGTTGTAACCCGAGGACATATCTTACGCTTTGGGTTGGTTCGTGACGTTCATTTATCTATGTATGACATTCAATTTTATATCTAAGTCATGAAAGCTTTACCTGGTCCTTTGGAATGATTTATAAAACTTCTTCGAAAAAAACAGCTTTTCTGTTAGATACTGTGTTAGATTAAGAACAAAACTATTTTCTATTTAAACTAATCAACTAAAATTAACTTTTCGAAACCTTATAACTTTTTAAACCATTTTTCGAATATGTCGATATCTTAGAATCTGAATGCGTGTATATATAATGCCGGGTATAGCTAGTCAGATACGACTATATTTTGTCTACACTGTTCGGCGACCTCCATATAGCTAGATGCGAATAAAACTATTCATACACTTCCTAAGATGAACCAGCTCTATTGATAACCTCAGACAAGTGAGCTCCTATTTAGTAGCAGGTAAGTAATAAACCCATAGATTTCCCTATCATACGAATGGCTTTTGCTGAGTTTTCCCTACCTATAGTTGATTTCGCAGACAGAATAGATCATACAGCTGGCGACTATTAAATGTAAAACACGGAAGAACCTCTCTGCAAACTTTTCTTTATACAATCGTTATCTAACATTGCTGAAGCGCAATATACCCCGCTCGTTTGTTTGCTCTATCTACACTTTTCATTCAGGTCATCGTCCTATATATACGAATAGCGAGGTCAATCTTGTCTACTCTGTGTGCACTCGTAGGTTCTGTCAGTGCTAAAGACAGTCGCCACCCATAGGTAAAAAACATTAGATGACACACAGATATGTGATTGTCAGAACGTTACCGCTGACCGTAGAATACTTTGAGCTAATGTTACAATTTGGTACAGTGAGGCAGTCCGCACATCTTCTATGTTAACAGGTCCACACTAAGTTCTGGCAAAAGCTCCACAAGCAAGGTCGCGACAGAATCTACCCAATTTGACACAAGATGAACTAATTATCACTAATAGGACTGTCATATTATATGAAATGGCCTTCGGTCATTAGGTGCGCTCCGTAAGACGGAGTGGTGCCTAGCTTTTACCGTTTCGGTTCATTGACGCGTCGAGGGCTGAGAGTCATTGGTAAGGTAACATTAAGCAATGAATGGACTAGAATGAAGTTAAAAGCATTTTGGGCACATGGTTAAATCGCAATTATAATTTTACCTAAACAGGCATAATTTTGTAAATATTATTTGATGGTTTATTGTTTCAAGCATTGTTTTTGGCTATTTTACACCTGTTCTGTCATGCATACCAATTTACATGTGTGCGTGTAACAATTCGTTGTTTATTCAGACGAACCATACATTGCTCTATCTGTAATAATTACTTCCAGAGACAAATTTAGCTGTCTGATTTATTATTATTGCAGCACTTTTTCAATATATCTCCTTTTCAAAGATCTGATTATGTCAGAAAAGTGCATTAAATGTCGAGTTTGGAGCGATCGTTTTTTTTATTAGCAGACTATTGACTTGTGGGTCGTATCGTCTTTTACAATACACTCCGTCAGTTTTGGTTAAAACCAATTTTTTTGGTGCGGCTTCGCAAAAGATCGACGGACGATGGTCATTCATCAATCTGCGCTTTTCAAGATTAGCCAGTTGATTAAAGAGTATGTAAAATTTCTTCGGCGATTAGTAGGCCATACAAAATTGTCTCTCAACTATACATTGGATTTTGCGCTTTGCGTTGCAAAATGGGGAAGATCTCTTTCTAAATTATCTTTAATACGCAGCTACTGTAAACGCACTAGTACGTTATTGTACCACAAGTTTTAACTATTCTCTCTATTGCAGGATCTGAAATATTCAAGTTGTTTCTTCAAAAAAAATTAATCATCTCCGATAGATGTTACGGCTGTGATTAATAGAAAATCAACGCTAATGCGCAGGTAGAAATAAAAAGCTTGTTCAGAGAGTAGTACAGGAACGACAGGAACGGTACTTCAACCGCCAGATGCTAGGTTTTTCGTCTTTATTACTTGTAAATGTAACTGGTGTGGGTGTGTCGAAAAAATAGCAGAAATATTTCAAGTTACCTCTTGAATATTCGTAGTTGTCATCGCCCATGTCCTGCCGTTATGTTGTCGCTTGCGATCTGAAACAACAGAGAAATATAGAGGAGCAACTTTAGCTACACAATGATCTTGATCGTCATCGACGATGTACGTAAACTAAATAAACAGTGAAATATCATCCTGATTCCTATCCGATTCCCAATTTTCCATTGTAAGTTTTCGAAGCGAAAATGTTGTCAGAACGAATTCCGATTGTTTTTTTTTATAACTCTACTTTTCATGTTTATGTATTGTAGTAGCTTTAATTAGAGTCTTCACGAGACTGATCGTAAACATATATATATATATATGTAAATAGTTTTGATTGTAGTCTTATAGTGGATTAGTCGAAGAGATGGTTTTTCGCCATAAAGTGTTACAGCACATTAAAATCAGAATTCAGGAGAGTTTAAGGTTTCCGTGAGCGACATCAAGTCATGAGTGGGGAAAATCGCTAGGTTAATACGGCTGCGGGGCATTATTGAATTTGCAATATTTTTATGGACCACTGTCATCATACGAAGCGTTTCAAATCAAGCACTGATTGGTATTTTTTTTCGTTTGAATTTCAAATCAGATCAGTGTATACTTTGGATAAACTAAAAAGGATAATTTCTAGAGTCAAGAACAAGATCGTATTCATAAATGATTAAGACTTGCCGCTAATGCAAAAAATAGGGTTCGCTCGTATCATTCTCGCCTTATATTTCGCGGCCAAGTGAAACTAGAGAAGGCTAAGATAAACTGTGACAAGTATAGCTAAAAAAATGGACACCGCTATATACGTATTTTGCTGGTTGTTGATACAATACTGGTAGCGCGCCTTTGGGCAGGGTGAATGCACTACAGTCCTGGTTGCATCATCAATAGCAGCCGATCCTCCTGGTGACTGTCCTGTTAAAACCGATATGCTGGATCTAAGACAGCCTTTTAAAGAGAAGAAACATTTCAACGGTTCAATGTAGGATACCAACAACTAGTCCAATAGCAAGATACCTTACCGATGCAATGTGGAAATCACGCAAAAAAGATGAGACAAGTCATTAAAGCGTTTCTCCCCTGGGGGTGTTTCCATAATGGCGGCTGAGGTTCAGGGCGACGGCCTGATGCAGTTTTACAGAGAGCAAGTCATACCAATCAATGAAGATATGTTCACTACAAAACGATGTTTTACAAAAAACGTTTTTGCAGTAATGCTTGCAAATGTGAATGCACCTGGTTAAATGATGGTAGCTTTGTGCCCACCTTACAATCGTCATGATAGTGCAGTGGCTCACATGTTTTCCGATGGAAGTCCCAAACGCGATCCCATAGGATCGATTGCGGGGGTAAACACATTTCTTTTCGTGGTGGGAGCGCCAACCGCCTAAAGTAATGCCTAACGCCTTAAGTGCCGGACGTGAAACGCGAAGAACATTTTTTCGAGTCAGACTGAAAAGAGGCGTATCTGTATGATTTAAGCATACAAATTGTACATTGTAAAATATTAAAATGCGCACAAATAAGTCTAAGACTCTAATAAGTCTAATAAGAAATTAATTCAATGTCTTGCTCTTGAATGAAAACCGCCATGCGCACTCTTAAACTTACAATAAACACTTAAGAACTTAACGATCGTAGGTTGCCGCTGGTTGAAGCCAGCCATCGTGTTATCTACTTTTGTGGCTAGGGTTTAAATGCATTCAGAAACGGACACGTTTTTTCGTGCTTTTTTTTAAAATTAAATTGTATATACATTAAACTCGAAGCTTGAATCTGCGAACATAAGAGGATTCCTTTTTCAAAGCTAATGATATGTTATTGCGAATAGAATTTATGATCATGCGTTGTTATATTTTAAAATTTCTAGGTAGATATTTATAGTCCTTGCAACAGCGCAGAGGGTAATGCGTTTGTCTATAGAGGTGTCTATAGGTGCAGATTAAGCGTAGGTACACTCTGTTTTATGCTAGGACCTAGCCCTTTAAAGTAATTATAGCTAACGATCCGAGTACTGGGACGTATTTATACAAGGATTAATGCCATGACAATTGCCAGAAGAAACCTCGCTCTGATCGAGCCAGTTGCATGATACTACAAAGCAGCGTTACGAAGTGAAGCTTCGATCATTTTTACTTTCAAGTGAAGTGGCACATTTTAACTATCACATTTATCCTTAAATAAGACAAGTTCACATTATTTCAAATCAGCTTGTGGACCTGTTTAGCTCTACTCCAACTTCTTCCCGGTATAACTCCTTGTCGCTTAGGATAATATCTGATTTCATGACAAATTTTAATTGGTTGAGAATATTCTTATCATACAGCTGCTGATATAACCTTTCATTTTGTATTAAAAAGAAAAATTACTTCTACTTCTATTATGTAGTAAGCCTATGTTTATCTGTTGGGTAGACGTTCAATCGGGTGTTTCACAATTCTTTAAGCACAACGTTGTATAAAGCCCGACACTTTCTTTAGGTTAAACAGCCCCCAAGCATGTACATATAGTTACTACAAAATAAAACTACCACTGTTAGCTTAATCATAGCGAGCTGTGTGGGTTCACCAACCCTCTCGTTATTTGAATTGAATCGGCTTCTTTGACGATTATTAATCGCCTTTAGGCTTAATGACTTCGCCCTGATCACTACGCTCGTGCCTAGGTAGGTCCTTTCGCAACAATAAAGATATATAGCTATTCGAGGTACTCTATGTGCATTTGATTTTTGAATACAGCGTTAAGGCGGTACAAAATTCCGTGAAATTGCATAGTGCACACTAATATTTTCTACGCGCTCGGATCATGGGCGCAGAATCTAAGCTTAGACAAAATTTTTAAAAATATTTTAAACTAAGCTTGCAGGCTTGTGTTAATGAGTAGAAAAACAATTACGGTGACAGGCTTAGGTTATACAAAAAAACAGACGCAAAGCGGGACGATCAATACAACTCGCGTGGTAGTTAGTTATGTTGGTAGTATGGACCTTTATTTTACCGAATATTTTTTTCAATTGGGAATGTGAGCAAAGTTTCCGCAATAGGGTCGAATGTGGAAATGGTGGAACGTAAATAAGCCCTGGCCTTACCTCGGAGAAGATAGGCCAAAACTGCTATATTCTGTATTGTGTTTAATTATGTTTCAAATGTGTTGGCGTTTTAGACAGAGCGGTGAATTTATCTCCTGGCGTAAAATGAAAATGCTTCGTTGGTGTACTTGAAGAGATTTAGGTAAAGGTAAAAATCGAGGAAGCTGAACGTTCCTGTAGTGCTTAAAATGCACGAGGTGATTAATCAAGACTCCAGCGTCTTCGGGAGTCAATTATGGACCTGTCACTCTTCTAGCTCAATTTTTATAAGAATTCACATTTTGATAAAAGACAGACAATGATGTATTCCCAGCTGTTTTCATTGAAACGTAACACTCGTGTTGTATGTAGTTAAGGCACTATTGATTGTAACAGGGCACCTTTTTCTCCGTTTTTCAGTTCTCTCTTTTATCTTTAAGATACTTATCCCGTGAAAACATTGAATGGCAATACTGCACTGCTGGTCCATGAATATTAATCTCTTTTCAGCCCGCATGATTTAATTTACCTAAAATTAGAAATGTATGTAAGGTCTCTGTGTAAATAATCATTTCATTAAAATACTTTACTCTTATGTGATGCTAATATATCCCGCAATCGACCATCGACACGCACCTGTATGCGTGATGAAATGGGTCTGAAGTTTGAAACTACAATTTTTTTTGACAATTGCTGTATCCGTATATGCTACAACAAAATCCTTAGATCTCTTTGAATGTACGTTACGTAAGATATGGCGAAACACCCTCATCAAAGGCTATTCATTTCGGCCTTACTACCTTTTAAAGAAATTCGTCAGATTTAAGTCAAATAAAATATCCTTCGATAACATATATATACCCAAATGTTTGGTATTTGACAATCAGAGCGACTAGCTTGCAGTGTTGCATCCAGAAATTGTATTCTATCAATTGATTGGTGGTATTAGAGTCGTAAACGAGTTTAAACAATTATCCTCCTGAATAGATAACACCAGTTTTAGGAAATCATAAAGTAGCTTGAAAAATTTACGCAGACGGCGGTCGGCCTGTATATGATTCTGAAAAATGCAACTAACGGCGGGTTAAGGTAGTGTTGTGCCCACTGAGACGGCTAAAAAGGCGGAAATAGCTCTAATGTGGTACTTTATAGAGGACACTTATATCGATACTTGTAGTCTATTCGAGATCGAATCGGTTCACTAGGCGGATGGGGTTATGGGTTGATGAGACAGCAAAAGCTATGTGAATGGATTGTCGCATAGAATACATGACACCTTTGACGTGGTTGATGTAGTTGACCCAATATGGAAAAACGATTTTCTCAACGCTGAAACCAAATTATTTCCGCAAATAATTGCGTTCAATATTTGTTCGAAGAACTGTGGGAACGCAATTGCCATCATCCAACTGACTTATGCGGTAGAACTGTCGTCCGAAATACGCGATGCAATAGTTTTGTTTCCCGTGAAAAGGTCCTATCATATTATTTTGAAATAAGGCGGTCATTTGTAGTTTATTTGGGTAAGTCCCATTTACTTCTGAAAATCAGGTGCATCACAAATTATTTCATTCATGATCAAAATTTTCCCGGTCTCACTGTTTCACCAAAAAACAGCCGTCTATCCACAACTCATAATTTCCAGCAAACGACTAGCAAAACTATTTACAAATAGTACTATGTGTCTATGCATTATCGTATTATTAGGAACACTGCCTGACTAGCTGAGATGCGCGTTAGCTTAGGTGAGATGGCCTACCACAGGACGCTTGATGCATGGTTTGTATCAATCATATGCATATCGACTAACGTCAGCTGACATTTTGGGGGAATAAAGTAGACGGAGCAGCACTGACCTACGTAAGTGAATTAAACGATAACATATCGAAGGAAGATTAGTTAATATTCACACCAAAAACGGATGCCCCGCAGATCGTTATCCAGTTCATCTAGCCTTACGGGACCTTCATCCATAATGGACCTATTAATTTACTGCGAAAATTAGCAGTCATTTGTTTTTTCAGTCATACCTTGAAAAGTTGTGTCAAATTTATAACATGGCTCAGATTTTTAGTTTACTGTTATCGACTATAGCTATTAGCAACCTCTACTATAAACCAGGTAACTTATTATGGATAGTTAATAATTGCTCACACATGAGTAGTTGACAAAATTATCTGTAGATTTTTTATGCTCTGCTTGAACGCACACATTTACTTGCATGTATCTCAGCTATAAAAAAAAAACACAAGAATTCAATTTAGCGAATGCCAGACACTATTGGGTCGTCACTTTTTTAACACTTTATATACGTGAAAAACGTTCGGTTTTGCGTGGCTTTGCTTATCTAATTACTGCCTCTCCAATAAGTTGTAAAGCCACATCTCTAGACGGTCTGGCAGAGTCGCTCCTCCTTCACAACACAGCATAAATCTGCAATGTACAATGCAATTGTAAATACACCGTGCGTGATACGGCACTTTCCATTGAGACGGTCTTTTTAGACAAGCACGGCCTCCGCCTTCCACTCTAGCCTATCTATGTTTCGGTATGGGGGATTTCGAATTCTGGTGTTGCTGCGACAGATCCGCATTACTGTAGCAGTTTAAATCCATATGGAACTTAATACGAAATTTGTGATTAGAGGCTATGTGTAGCGTAAACTTTTCTGATGCCACTGTTCCAGTCTAAAAAATATATCGTCTTCTCTCACTATTTCGCTGTCAGCTTCTTTTTTTCCAGATGTTTATTCCTACGATGCGAAGAAACAACAATATCGGTTCCTTGCCTTTGCGATCGTTTATTCAAAGTTATTGCGCTGCCTTCCGTCCGTTTTCCGCCACACACACTGTTATTCACACAGCTTGAAAAGTATTTAGTCAACAAGCTTCGTTCACCGTATATCTTTCCTACCACATTCCCACGTCTTATACGATTGTCGCTTTTCGTCCTTCTGAGGCTGGTTCTATTATACGACACAACAGTTATTACTATGGTACATTAACGGAGGTAGACTTCATTAACAGACATGTGAGTCAGTGATATTTGTCAATCTTGTTCGTATTGATGTTGTGGTATTGGTTGGTATCAGACTATACTTGTGCCTGCCTTCGGCTTGCCACTGGCCTCAGTTTGCTGAATATGAGAAGCACTTTTTTCCGTAATCGCACGCGCAAATGCCTCGAATGCACATCGGCCCTGTACTCGCTGTACGGCCCTATCGCTGCTTGCTGGGCAGGAACGCCGTCACCCCTCTCCTATTCAAGAGAGAGTGGCAGGGCCCAACCAGCTCACACCCAGGCCACTACTATTACTCCTAGTGCTATCACTATTGCTATACGGTCCGGTTGACTTGCGAGCATGGCTGTCGTCGATGGGTCGCTCAATCGGTCCGTCCGACCGTTCCCCTATCCTTCGATACATGTGTGCGCGAGCTAAAAAACGACAAAAACCAACACATCAATTAAAGGAACTGTTACCTGCAAGGAAGTGGAACAGGAATAAATCATGTTGGCCTAGCCTAGATAGTGGGACCCGCGCACATATAGCCAGCTTTGTCAAACCTATATAAGGGAAAGCCTGAGGAGCTCATAGTACATAAAAAAAAATGGGAACAAAGCCGATTGAAATTATTTGTTGATTTCAAAGGTATGCAGTTGCGCGCAGACATAATATCATCTTGCAATAGAGCATCTATTGTGCTACTTGATGATACTGACGCAAGACTTGTGTGAGTTTAGCATCATTGAACCAAATACTAGAAAGTTAAGGGTAGGAAAAACTGACCTCGATTCTCCATTCATGCTCTGAGTAAGTGAAATTTTTAAGGGAATTGAGGAAAGTTTGTAGTCTGCACCGGTCGTGTATGCTGGTTGCTGATTCAATGCATGTTCTAGGAGAAAGTAGATGGCAAAAAGCAAATCGTTCCTCTTCTGCAGTATTAGAGCTTTTCTGTTATGTAAAATTAGGTGACTTTGAAAATTGATCAGTTTCTAGTGATCACAGACTGTCCATGTTTTGGCTTAGAGCCATTTCGAACATCTGTAAGTTCACTTGCAATAGACATCCACGAGCAGATTCTTTCTTTAGAGCAGTTCTTAGCTTTTAGCTTTTGTTTTTAGCTTCATTGTTTCGAAATCTTAAAAATAGAAATGCATAATAAAACATAAAATTTCGATTTGTATTCCATTAGACCGCGACACTGTATGCATAAGCGGTTACCGTGCATTGGTTTCTAGCAAAATTAAAACGGGCAAATATGCCTGTAAAAAAACTAAAGTCCCCATATGAAAATGTTGACAAGCAGCTAGGCATTTTGATACAAATTTTCTGAGGCTGTCGATTAAAATCAACTACAATCCTAGTAAAATGTGTTGCAAGCGTTCAGTTTAGGCTTTCTGAATGAAGTACTTAGCATGGTTGTGAACGGTGAACAACGGTAAAATGCTAATGGCGTCGGTGGTATTAAAGCCATTGCTTTGGGGGAAAGCTAATTTATATGACGCGTAGGGCGTTCAAATAGCATGAGTCATATTATTTATTGTGACATTAAAAGGAGCAATAGCAATAATCACAGTATAAGGACTGTAGTTTAAAAGACCGTTTGAATGGACGATCTCGCAGTCTTCATGAGACTTAACCCTACAAGAAGGTTAAATGACCATGCATAGCAACCAGCTTTGCGTAAGACTTCAAGTAGGCGTCAAAGGTTTTTTTATCAGTAGCTCCATATCCTATTTAGGTGGCCGGTTGGAAGGCACGCATTTGCTCTCATCATCGATAGTCTCGTCGTTAGTAATGCTGTGATCATCTTCTTCCTATAGGCTCAGGCTTGCAAAACATTTTTTTTAATGATTAGAGAACACTAACAAAAATTTTCCTTAATTTCAGTTTTCAAGTACAAGAGGTCGATTTGTTTGTGCTTGTGGAGCAGTTTAGGCAAAAATCGAATTGGCGAGTTGTAATCCTTAATCTTTATTCCACTCCAGTCTTTAACCAAGACTGAAACCAAGGCCGTTGTTCCAAAATGGCCACACCTTCACCCTAACCGTTCCGTGATAGGGGCAATAAGTATACCAGTAAGTAAACGCGATGTCTGGCAATTGTTTCTTTGCTTGATTTTGGCTAAATCAAATAGCTTGGCATGCCTCTATGGAATGTTGAACTTTTTGGGTTACGCCGAAGTTATACAGTGTCATATTTGTCAGAAGGTGATGAATAAACATGCCCAGAGGCCTTAGGCCGAAGGCTTTGCCAAAATCCTCTTTATAATATATTTCTGAAGCCATGCTTCATGGGTCGTTTTGATAAACTAATAAACGCTTGTGGTAATCTAAGACCACTGCATAATAAAAGCAGGTCAATTTCAGATATTTCGTACAACAATAAGCTACAAACGGAAATGTTCCCTTGGGCAATGTCGCGATCATGAAGCTACTCGAGAGCATTTAATACCACTGCAGAAAAAAATCTTGCATGCTCTTTGTTTTTAAATGACGGCTGGCTTTTTGGGAAGTCAGCAAAAATTCCAAGTGGCTGGCTTTTGAGCACAATGACCCCAATTTCCCGTCTTTTTTGGTTAAGAACAGCAGGTCAATAACAAAAAGTTGACTTCGCCGAACCTGATCAGAAGGCAAAACTCGACGAAAACATCTTGCTGACCCAGTAAACGCTTTTTAAATTTTTGGCTAAGGGCCAAATACTTCACTATCTGCCTACACAGAGATTCACGTACCGTTCGTAACGTAATGCATAACCCCATATATTGAAAGTAATCTAATGCAGTAATTTCAAGTCCCTCAGTTCCTTTCCGCCTTTATCGCTCACTTCTTCAGCATCCGACTTCTGCAACTTTACATCTATTTCAGCGTTTGGCTATTTATAAATTTGCACCCTTTATTGGTTTCAGAATGGGGCATAGAGTATTTCTTGCCAGTAGAATATCTACGAAAATTATAACGGGATCATTTGCATGTGCAATGCATCGCCAAACATACGCATTCCGTATGTAAGACAGTTCAGTCAGCGCTCATTGTTTAGAATGCCCAGATTTAGTTGGCACAGCGGTATCCCATTCTGCTCGTTCAATCGATACAGTGTAGCCATGCGAATTTCCTTCGCCGCCCAACATAAAAGTATCTCCAAATGGCATCATGATTTCCTTATACGGAAGAAACAATCGAGCCGCGCCACGAATAGTTCTCAAAAGTAATGTGATACGACGCGAAAAGTTTTGCGACGAAGGCTAACCGTTTGAAGCAGTGCCTGAATGCAACGCTAGGCGTAATGTAATAGTTCAATATATTTGAAGAGTTGAATTATTTTATTGACTTCTTTATTAATTTGTTTATCTTGAGTGAGACGTCTTACGAGACCTAAATGCTTCGAGTTTTACGTCCGGCATAGCCGTTGAGCCCTCCATCAGACGGCCAGCTCTCAGCACGGAACGAATCGTGTCTATGTCCGGATTCGAACGTAGACCACCGCCTATCTTCAAGATCAGCAGGCAAATATGTTACGTCCTGTGAAACCTAGTCTGAGAAAGTTACGACTGTTATCAGGTAAACCTTGCAGTGACTTGTTTACCATCACAGTCTCCGGCGAGAATGCAGTGTTAGAGTCGCTCTTCACAGAAGTCCTCCTTTCTATAAAAATTAAACACGCCCCAAGCAATTAAATCACTGCTATTATTAATATTATTTTCTTACTTGGAATTTCGTGGCGTGTTGTAGTTGTTTTAGATAGGCGCGATGCTTTCCACTGCTTTAGGATAAGGTCAGGTTCCCGATTTGTCTGATATTAATTCTCCTGTTACCAAAAGCAACCTAGAATTTTACAATAGTTTAAAAGCAATTGTAGCTCATAACAATGCATTACCATTTCGTGTATTTGTCACATAAACAAGACCGCCATTTACTACTCTTATGCACGTCTCATACTAATTGTGTATTTTTAATAGGGTTGCGCCAAGTAAGCTATCACATCCTTACACCATTATGGTAACAGATATGATATAGTACGCCTCACTGTTGCTGTGATACAGCCAGTGTCCCTAACTTTAATAGGCTATTCTACAATAGGACGACTAATTTTTGCTATGGTGTTGGGATTTGCCCATGTTATATTACAACATACCTACCTTTCGAAGAACTGACAAGTCTCCTGGAGCAGGTATGGGTCGGCCAATATCAGCTTGAAGCCGAAACCCAATTGTGAACGTTAGTTGATCGCATATAGTGAATATGAGTTTCTTCTGCTGGCGATTGGTAAATTGCATTGTATGCGCATGCGTTCGTTGTAGACTTGACTGTTTTCTACGCCCTGTTGGAAACCGTGAGTGCCGATGGCCCGTTCTAGAGAAAATGCTCCCGGTTCAAACTGCTGTCCGACATGATAAAATCAGCACCTTGTATTTTTACTATTCATGTCTTGGTGTTAACTACTTTGTTTTACATGGAGATGTTTAACTTTGCGGTACTGAGTTAGATCTTCCTACCTGTTGATATCGTTGCTAAATACGTTTTTCCAAACATGATTGATCGTGATACTGCTTTCACATCACTTCTCTCAAATGTAAGCAGCTCCATGAATCGGCTAACGGTGCCGGTCTACAATACTTCGTCACAGGTAAGGACGAAATACCCCCATGCAGTATTTATAATTTACATTGCATAACGCTCAATACGCTTGTATGGCTTCGTATAGGGGCGCTATCCTTACCCTTATGATGCGCGCAGTGTGTATCCGAATAGCTGTCTCCCTCCAAGTGTTGTCTAGCTCAATTCCTGCGAATCCGGAGGTTCTGATTGGAACAAATAAAAAAGTGATATCATAACATATTGTTTGAGTTCTCCCAAATGCATGCACTATTATGCATTTTTTTTTAATATTTCTTGTAATTAGATGAAAATATATGAATAACGCAAAATCTTATGTATAAAATATTCTTCTTTACCTACGTTCATTGGCGCCATCGCAATACAACCATTCACAAGCGTCAGCCAGTTGGTAATTAACGTTACCGATCTAATGATTTCACTATAATTTAAGGCAATTTCTATACGAATGGTATTCTTTCTAGAATTATACTTTCATACAGAGGTTCTCAAATGTAGTGCGTTTGTTGGGCACAAACAAGTTTAGAAGTAATCACAGGCGGCTAGTATCTATTTCAAGTTATGTGCAAATAAATAGTAAGTTAAAAACTCGGGATAATTAAAATACGAAAAAAAACAGAGTTTATCGATCATTTATAAGTTAGTAAACTTCCAATTTCAACATAGCATAGATTATAGTAGTCTCCTGCAACAAAAGCTTTGTCAGTACGTTTTTAGTTCATCATAACACGACATTCGAGCAACCTTTATTTCGCATCGGAAATATCGTATCGACTAATTTTATCAGCTTTAAGGGAAATCATAGGCGAGAGACATTATCAATTGGGAGATAAATTATGGTCATTAATAAGCTAATAAACGGATATTACAATGAAATTTTTGCATGCATTGCATGTAAGTTTTGAAACTAGATTTTAATAAAAAGTTCAATATGGCTATTTTGTAAAATTTTCCACCGCTTTCAATATAACGGTCTTTCAGCTCTTAAGAGAGCGCTGACGCAAATTAAATAGTGGCTTTTAATTGTATAGTTAAGTACTTGGCATAATTTCTCTTATAATGCAGTTTAACAGTGTTAAAGCCTAGAAAAAACTTAAGCTACGGTTTGGAAGAGTTCGTTTCTTTTATTGATTAAAACATTGCTTATCATACATCGCAATAATTCTACTTTATAATTCTAATTTGGGCGGCTAGTAAGCTCCAGTTAGCTATTCGAAAGGCCAACGAATATTGTGTACCCTTGTAGAGCTCGATCCCTTCCTATTTCTTGTATTGAGACCTCCGCTTTGAAAGGTTCTTAAAGTAATGTTAAACAACTGCTTAATGAACTACTGTAAAAAGTACAGCGGTTAGTTGGTGGCGAAACCACGTTGGTGGTGTTCATTGCAGTACTTCCTTCCCCGCTTTACAGTCGCTGGTTTCCATGCCTTCACTGTTCGTTTCTACTAAAGCAGCGGACGTCGTCCACTAATCGAGGGAAAGGTGTTTGTATCGCGCGGAGGGTACGGATTAGGAGCAGGTGAGTTTATGTTGTGATTTGACAGTTGTCAAACAGTGAAACTCTGCTGGTGAATTAATACACCCGCTAATACAGTAATATCCACGCCTTGTAGGAATGTACGTGGCTTCTTGGCCTTAGCTGCAATTGCTGATGGTAGCAATGGTATCGAATTGTGTTATGCTCATTGTAATCTTAATGAAATCCATATGAATCTATCGGAACTTAAATAGAGTTGATCGAATAAGTAAAGGCATTTTTAATCGTGAAAGTTTATTATACATCATTTTATTGACGGATATTAAATCAGTCAGGTGGAACTTATGAAGCAACTTGATTAAACCTATTGTTAGTTAAATCCTTTTCTAATTTCTTTTATTAGCTGATGCCATTCTTTCCTTTTTATTAAGTGATTAAACATTTACGCGATGAGATTCGAACGAAACTATTGCGAACTCGCGACCACGTATTAGCATTATGGATTTCCTACAGTCAAACTAATATGAAAATCCATTGCGAGTCACTTTGTAGTGACAATGTTTTTGTAATTACATTTAACCCGTAACTCAGGATTTTTTTCAGGAAACATTTAGAGGAATCAGTTGCACAATTGCATATGATTAAGCTAGTAGTCATGAGCGATGGCAAAGCCACGTAAATGGCAGCAGATATCCAAAATTAATTCAATTGCATTATATATGGGTATTTGAAGGAAGAGAAATTTAATGGGAACCCCTATAATTTCGAAAAACCATCACAAGCTTTATACTGTTTGCCTAACCATATAGAATCCAAAGTGTCAGACCTGATTGAATTGTGAGGACTCTTTTTGAAGTATAATGTTGCCTCTGTGTATGACCAGTTTACGTTTATGCATAGATGGTCTTCGTGACAGTAGTATCGTATTTACTTATAACTTAGTTTCACTTGGTAATCTCTGGTAGTAAATCTGGACAGAGACACACTTTGTTTCATGCTAGGAACAATCAGCCCTCTTAAGCAATGTTTAGGTACCAGGCGTAAAACCCAAAACACATATTCCAGGAACCAATCAAGTGCTTATTACACAAGGAGATTGTTATGTTGATTCAATATGTGTTTAATTATGGTTTAAGGGTAACCGTAAAACGGTTAGTATCTCACATTATTTGGAAAGCGCTTTGAGTGTAACATCTGAATGTAAAATTGTGATTAATATTTGTGTCCGCCGACGCTCTAAGTTTTCAGATTTAGTGAGCGGCCTAGCTCGTTGATTGACAGCTATAAACAGTTAACATTAAACATTGACACATCATATTTTCTGTTCCACCTAGGCTGAAGACTCACGTGCCACAATGTATATCACAGTATCGTTCCAAAACAGTAGTTTCCTACGGCAGACTATCGGCTTATTTGTTGTTCGTTGTATAAATATGGCTTTTTGTTGGACGTAATTTCTATATGCCAAGGTACAGCTGCTTTAATCATTTTTAAGTAAAATAAAATGTAATTGAAAATTTCTTGTTAGATATCTAGGTTGTATTTTGTTTAATTTAATGGTGATTTGCGTTAATACGTTTTGTAGTTCAACGTTAAATTACAGTTGATTCCATGAAACAACTTCGTATGGACATACATAATTTAACAGATGTAAGTTAAACGAAATATAGATGTTTTTATGTTCAAATGTAATAACTGGAGCCATATGTGTATACAGTAACTGGTGTACTGGCATGAAAAATACGTATAATTGAACTAAAAAAATATTCGAAAGAGCGTATTATATTATTTACAAAGTTATGCGAAAATGGTATTATTTTGCATGTATAATTATTGATATTATTTCGCTCTTGAAAATATGAATTTCTCAGCTCTATTCTTCGTATTAAATGGAAAACATTCCTTAAACAGAAATCGGCTTGCGCAGGACTTTCGTATTAGGCCTGATTACGTGTAACTGGTATTAATTGTATTATTGAATCATGATCACCTGACTAAGCATGCGACGTAGGACAGATTACTCCCGTAATTGTGTAGCATAGCGTTGGAAAATGTTTGATTTAAATTCTTGTTTTTGGCTTCAGTTGATATGTGCCTTAGAGTCGACAGAGGTTGCGTAGAAAATTACTTCGCATACACTTCTCATGCATAGAGTTAGTTGGCCTAGTTTTCAAATTGCTAAAGCCCGGAAGACCACCGTGTAGTGGCGGCCAATATTGAGCATAAAATTTTTGGGGTAACAAATAGCACAGCCTTAAAAAAATATATTTATCTTTTTGGTTGTGAAACGTAAGTAGTACTTCCTGTATTTCGTATATAAACCTAAAATTTATTGAGATGTCGATTAGCTTTCTAATTTAGTGTCGATGCGTCAATTTCATATTGCACGAATTGCACTAATTATATTCAGGTTGAACTTACCAACATAGATCATAAAGTAATTTACTTCGCAGTCAAATTTCTTATCCCGAATGACCTGATGTTGACTGGTAAGTAACCATGTCAGTCCTTATAACTTGAATGATTAATTTATGAAAGTACTTTCTACTTAAAAAACAAAGAAAGTTGAAAATGATAATTGCTGTCGTGTGCCTCCGCATACGGCGAAAATTTTGTCGTTTAGGTTGCTGTCGACAGCACACGACTTTTTGCCTGACTTACTAATAGGCAAATGTTTACTTATATCTAATTATTTTATGTTCGATCTTTTATTTTTTCTTAAATTATCATTATAGCTATTAGACATATTCATTAGGTAGATTTATAACCCGAAAGTGGTGAAGATGCTTGTCGTCCAAGGGAGAATTTGACACAAGTTAGGCCTGTCTGTCCAAAAAAAGCTTAGTCATATGGAATCTATTTTCTTACATTTCATTGTTGCTCAGTTTTGTTTTTGTGTATCTTCTCTTTCAGTCTACAATTCGGTCTCATAAGTATTGTGGACAGGGATTGTCATACTTACCGTGTTATATGTACAGCTCTGTAATGATTTTCCACGTATTTCATCGCATTTTGGGCTTGCTAAGCATGCTGGCAACACTGCGCTATAGGACAAGATAACTTGCTTGATACTTTAAGCCTTCGCGGATATGGCTATGCCTTCGGGCCATTCTTATAATTATATTACGTATTGTTAAAATTATGAGGAAGTCACGATTCCGTAAAGGAAGCTTCCCTGAGTGATGCGTCCGTTTGATTTACAATTAAAATAAGGTTACTGTCTGCCTGTGCTCTCCGCTCTTCTAACGCGTCGTTCATTTATTTGCCCTCGAACCTTTTAATGTAAACTAGAGCGTTGTAATGACAATGGCCGGCGGTGTAGGTGGCGGAAGTATTGGTACATTAGGGCCAACGATGGAGGGAACCCTATACAAATGGACAAACTATTGGCATGGATGGCAACCTCGCTGGTTTCTACTCGATCAAGGAGTGCTTACCTATTACAAAAGCCGGGAAGAAGTCCGCCAGGGTTTGTGAAGTTAACGTTTTTATGAATTTTTGAGATTAATGTATGTTAACTTCATACTACTATTATATGTGGTTTTGTGTTAAATGTTTTATCTACAATTTTGTTGAACTTTCTTGCTATAATTAATATTTTCGCACAGTTTTCGAGTCTTGCGCCTCGTTAAAATTATTTTTAAAAATATTTATCATTTTTCCACTACTATAGTAATGTTAGTGGTGTATTAGTTTTTATGGAAAATTCATTTTATGATAGATCCGCAGCCATTCCAGCAGGAGATGTCTCCGATATAAATGAACACAAAAGAATAAGCCAGAAGTCTTTAATTCTTTCTAGAAGAGGTATTTATGTGGTATAGCTGATTCGGACGCGGCTCAGAGAGAGATCGTTCAGAATAGGTTGCTTGCGTTCATCGTATGTACAACTAATCTGGGAAGAACATGACACATTGAATTCTGTAAAAATATGCATCAAATCCTTATGATAATTTTTATCTGATCAATTTGCAGGCTGTAAGGGCAGTGTAAAGATTTCCGCTTGCGAAATTGTTCCACACCAACTGGACTTAAAGCGGCTCGATATTATAATACCCTCCGAGCAGCGTTACTATCTCAAGGTACTAGTAATAACGGATCTGTTTTTGTCAATGCATTGATCTAAGTACTCGTCTGGAACGCATTTTCCTGTTTCTTTTCACCAACATACGTCATAAAAGAAAACTTCGATTTCTTCCGACAAGTGCCGTATCATTCACGTAAACATTACTGCAACTAATTGTCATTGCAAGCGCGATGTATTCATTTATTTAATTTTTTTTTTCACAATGATGCACAGGCTGCGTCGGAGACTGAGCGGCAGCAATGGCTAGTGCTACTCGGAAGTGTCAAGCAGGCGTCAGCCTCTGGGTCAGCTTACTCAGCTGGGACGTCTCAAAGTAACCTTTCGCTAACTGCAGCTGCTACCACTGTCGCGGCGGTTCACAGTGTTAATGGCCCACCGTCACAACCGTTCGTGAACGCCAACGCAATCAAAGTCAAGAAATCCGAACTTCAGCTCTGCTGCGATATGGTCATGCAACAAGTGCGTGATAGTTGTCCTACTGGGGAGACAAGTTTTCTCAGTCAGGATCCTTTGCATTATGAAATATCCAGTAAATAATTACCTATAGGCTCGATAGATTTAGTGATTTTTGCCAAATTCTCATGAAATTCTTTCGCCTTACTTTTTTTGCTCTTTTATCCCTCCTTCTGAACATCCATGTTACTATTTTAGGCATACGCAATCAAAACGTCGCAGGAAACACAAGCAAAATTAGAAGCAGCGGCAACGTTAAATTCAACCTGTGATACCTTTATTCGGTGCCTCGACTCGTTGATGAAACTGATCGAGCGCGCGGAACGTCTAGACGATGAAGATAACCGACTAAGAATGGCCACCGCAAGGGAGCTGAGGCCGCCGCTGCTCGAATTTACCAACAGCCACGGTTAGCAGACACCTTGAAACTTTCATATAGAATATGGTAGCCTTTGCACAAAATAACAAATATATATAGCGAATGAATATCGCTTAATCGATTAAGTATATATTGTCACTGAAGTGATTAATAGATCTAGCAGCTGCTGTATAAGCGAACGAAATAGGTACATCAAAATGTTATTGCTTTTTTGTTTTGCAAATTTGGAATATCAACTGTGGAACGACTGTAAATAGTAAATATAATGTGTTTTATTTTTGAAAAACTAAGCGAATAAGATAGTTTGACGTGGGCGTGACTGTTATTCATTATATGAAAATTCTGCTTATGATATATTTTATAGTTAAACATTCGATTTTATTGTGCTTGCGTTTAATACAGCACATATGACAACGAACAGCAAAGCCATGCGGTTATTAATAACAATGTTGGAAAATATTGACAGGTACAATTACAGGAATGGTGGGGTGTTTGGAAATACTCCAGCGAAAAACAACGAGTGAAGCCCATGGGATGATATCCGCGACTTCTTTAGCGGCACCATCAGAATCTGTTAAGATTTCTTCCGCAGTTATTCACCGGGCCACGACGCAGAAGTCGGATAAAAATACTGCCCTTATCAACGGTGAAACAGCTCCTAATGATAGCGAACTGACACATGATTCCTTTGACAGCACCAGCAACAATAACAACTGTAATAACAAAGATGTTTCGCATCGTACACGTATTTTACTGGGAAGCAACGAAAACACTCGACCATCTTTAATGACTCAGGTACATGGGGGATACATCCACTCTCACATCTAAAGCTCATGTCAAAATTATGTAACTCTGTATGGAGTTGATTATACTAGGAATTCAATGATAATGATAAATCAAAACTTGAGCTTATCTGGAAACATCTAACCATTAAATATTTAAAACCCGACGATATAATTGTGACAAAACCTGTCTGCTCACGTAATTTAATTAAGCGTAATAAAAGGTATAGAACGAGGTTATAAGCCGCCTTGGTGAGCTTACAAATGCGTGTTTTTGAATAATATTCAATTTTTGCTTTCATATCAACTCTTTTTGGCTGAATCTTATTCGAAAGCAGCTGCGCATATTATGAGACATCTGTTGCGTTGAAATAATTAGGCTTATATTGCCTTTTACGGATTTGGCTGCTTTCGAATACTGATTATTTTCTTTGCAATCCCTACGTCCGCAAATGTAATACTAAGGCGACTCACCACATGAAACTCAAAACATTTGCTTTTCTTTAGTTTATACCAGCAGTAGACACTGGTGGAATAAGCAGTAGACACTAATTATACGAACACGAAAACAATGATGTAATTTTAGCGATTTTTAACTTTAACCTATACGATTGTCTTTTCAGGAGGAAAACGACTGTATTTCTGTGTCTATGTTAACCGACGACCTTAATGCTAACAGCTTATCGTCCGAAGTCAGTTGTGAGGTTAGTCTATATTGGTCTGAACATTCTGTATTGAAACAAATGTCATATTCACTCTATTAACAACAATTTGCCAACAAACGCTTCTCCTTGTCTTTATTCATATTTATGTTACTGCCATTTATGCTATTCTCTCCTTGATTGAATAAACTTTCAGGCGAGTTCACCAGATGAGCCAAACACATTTTTTAGCGTAATGACACATTCTTTCCGGGATTTTCATCTGGTAGACAAACAAATCCCCATAAAAGAGTTCCTCGAATGTTGCCGAGAGCTCTTGCCGGTATTTGATGCACTTGGTTCAACAGCGTTTGCCCCGGTTAAAATGGATATACAAGGAAACATAGACAAGTTGGAAAAGCATCGAAAGGTGCGGCTATAATTTGTTATGATACAAATATGTATTACCACACTTTTAGTAAAAAGAGTAGGTATTTTCGTGTCAGTAGGTCTGTTAAAGGAAATACGTCTTCCATAGCAAACGTACGATGCTTTCAAATATAAGTAAAGGCAAAAAAAACTCTGAAATTAAATTACTCGGTATATGCCAAAATTCAGTGATAATATCAGTTTCAATATGTCTATTGTTTTTAGGACAGTCGATGTTTGACTCTTCAAACGCTGGTGCAACGCGAGCTGGATTTAGGCACAGTATGGTCGAAGGGGTCGGCAACGGACGCACTTTTATGGTTGAAACGGGCGCTGGCGTTTATCTGTTGTTTCCTTAAGGAGGCCTGCTGCCAGCCCGGAGAAGTAGCTTTAGCTCAGTGTGCAGCACACGCATATGGAGAAACGCTTAAGAAGTGAGTGGATAACGTCTTTTCAATTACTTTTTTTTTTTTATTCGTATTTTTTTTTCGTACACGTTCTATTACACTATTTCAAAAATAAGTATTATATATATGGGTATAAGTTGCAGCGAAATTTGTAAATAAAGTGTGCTGAAGCTATTTTTCACTACCATTTAAAGCCAACTATCACCATTATGATTACTATTGTTACTCAGAAGTTGTGTTGTTAGAATGAGAGATTTTTTTTTTGCAGACATCACAACTTCGTTGTCAAGGGAATTTTTTCAGTAGCTGTTCGCGCTCTTCCCTATTATTCGACATTTTTGAAGACAATGGCGCCCACTCCACAGGCTTCTGGTCACCCTCAGTATGAGGAAACCCTAAAAAGACATGGAATGGAGTATACCAAACAGCTCCAAGAGATTGTCACTATTATCGATGTGTTTTACGTTCGTAACGACATTGTCTCACCAATTGATCTCTAACGTAGTCTCATGTAATTGGCACACACTTTGCAGAACACCTACTAGCTTGCTGTAAGCTTGCGTGAGACATTTTGTTACTTCCGGTTCCGGCGAGTGCGTAACTATAAAAATTAAGTAATTCAGCTATTGCATTTGAACTTACTACCCTTGTTAAACCTCTGTTTCGATTTTTTTACATAAGTAACCGGACTTCTACATAAAACTGCAGGTAGGATGACCAAATAAGTTGAATAAATTGTTCAAACATGACATCAATGTATTCCAAATTATGGTACCATACCAATATCCACACTAATATACGTACTTCAACATAGACTACTGTAGACAAATTATGCCTCTGGATGACATAGCCTAAATTACAGTTACATTAAGTTTAGCAGAAAAGAACGGACAATATTTCTTGTTAGAGAGACGTGTATGCACCAACGAACCAAGCAACCGCGTGGAAGACGTTTTGTTAATAATTTTACTGTTATATAATTTAAATAAGGAGAGGCTAGAAAAATTATATGGGGGACATAAATTGGTCCTAACGAACTGACATAAGTGTGCTACTTTACGGGTCTATTCAAAGCTAAAGTCTCATGAGGAATCTGTCAACCTTGTAGTCCTGCAGACAGTTTCTGTGTGCGTGCGAAAACGCTGTGTCTATATACCATGAAAAAAATTGAATGTATTTACACGTTCTTGGGATTCACACATATACAAGCATATAAAGGCAGACATACACACGAAGGCATGAAGTTACTCATGAGTACAGAGAATAACACTGTGTAACCATGCATATTTGATTGAATGTATGGAGGTGTTTCCTAAACCGTTACGCACACAGCTAGTCATATTTAACGGTAGGTGGGGTACGCAATAATAAAGAGTTGAGTGATTTCCTACAAATAGTTAATGCTTATTTTTGATAATCGATGCCTTCGGAATCAGAGGTGTTTTCTTAAAAGTGATTGTTGCTTTCTTTTGATAATCGATTCCTTCGGCTGAAATCTTCTTTCTTATATGGCAAGACGCTTTTATCATGATGCTTCACTTGCAGAAATAAGAATTATTTAATATTTCGTATGACAATTTTGGACGTTCTTGAGCGATACCGTCCTAAATGTTCATATCAGTTTCAGTTTTGGGTCATGTGATATACCAAAGCCTATTTAAGATCATGAAATTGTATGGCTTTCAAGACCCCCGGTGTAGGACTGAGGTAATCATGTTCCTCGTAACTTTAGGCAAAGCTCAGTACGATATGAAGATTAGGGTCAGTGTATCTAAAAGGGAACGCACAGCCTAATAGTCGAAAGCAATGTATCACAGTTGTCGTAAAAGTTTTACTATTCTAGTACAATATGGGCCTTCCAGTCGTATTAAACGCCAACAATTTTCTATGCAAGTAATGTAGAAGATACTGTTACGTTGAATTCCATGAGAGTGACTCTTTTCAGTTCACAATCCTTGTGAAGGTCAGCTTGAGCACAATAGGGAATAGCATCGCCCGTTTCCACTTATTCAGTCACGGCCAATCCATTCAAATGAAAGAACCCAGCAAATTTTGCAAAATGCAGTCCTAGCGGTACAATGGCATAGATTACTAATGAAGGAAAAAAGTAGTAGCTAAGTGTTTCAACAGCAAGTGGGAGTTTCTCAGCGTGCCTAAAATATTACTAATCGACTTGAATTCTAATTTGAAATAACTTTGAAGGGATCTCAGCCACTTTTTTTTGATTTTCTAAAATATTGTACATGCTTTTCAGGTTTTACACTATACTTCAGTTGCTAGATCGGCCCAAAAATTGGTACCTCTATGTAATGATTAACAAAGCAGATTCGGTCCGCGATTCTGGCTAAGCCTTTATATCAGAACAAATCTCTAACTATGTTAACTTAGGTTTTGCTTTCATTTAAATAATATCTGGATTAAATACAATAGCGGTGTCACGTTTTTACACCATTGTTTAAAGTTATTACATTTAAGAGCGTCAGGTCAAGTCAGCCTTCCTGTGAAATTTAGCGTGTACTTGTCGCTTACTACTTAAATCTCTAATTAACTGGAATTACTGACATATAGCCAAATTTGGCGGGAAATTTGAAATAAATTATTATGGTAAATGTAGATAAGTAACATCACTATCGGAGCTTTTTTTTCTTCACTCTTCCATTATTGATATGATCCAATTAGGGATTTCAGAATGCGTCACTTAGTTATCCTAATAATGACAAAGCCCTTGTTACGAATCATTCTTCGCTGAACATGCAAATTGGCCTAAACTGAAACGTATGCAAAAACGTAATAGGCTTTATTATTTATCAACGTCGATTCCACGGACTCGTTCATTATTTGGTAGCACTAATATTTTCTTCATAACAAAGGCCTATTTTTAGATATATTTAGTGCACTCACAGGACAGACAGTTTTTCATCATAAGCGTACTGTTACACAGCTAATACCTTGTACTTTTGACATAGGTTCAGGGAACTCTTTATTCAATACTTAGCTCTAGCAATTATCTACTTGAGCACTTTGGAATAATTTCGTATAATAAAGCAATATATTTCACAGTATTACATAGCATATTAAATATTCTAATAAACCAACCAAATTACAACTTCACATAATTGTTATATATATATATGTACATAATAGAAATGCAGGTGCCGAACTTATTCTCATATGGACATAAGCACATAATATCCATTGGAGCTCTCTTGTATGATCATATGATACAACAGTCGGAGATGCCTCTGTGGTAAACTACCGAATCGGAGCCAAAGTAAAAATGGGTAGAATAGCACTAAATGCATAGTAATCGATCATGTGCGCACTTAGATGATGATACAAGTTGTCTTTTCCTATCATTATTGACTTCAAATCGGCAAACGCTTAAGCCAAGCAAAAAGGCCCCTATTTAACTATGTAGTTAAGGGAAAGACTTCTGTAAGTTATTTCGTAGAGGTAATCGGTAGCTTTGGCAAGACAGCGTACATATAGTTCAGTAATCACAGCTGGCCATTATGCCGCAAGCTGCGGTAATGGTAGTCACATCAATAAGCAATTTAGTTTTAATATTTGTGTACCTGAAATGAGTGCATGCGTCCTGCTCCCTGTACGTAACATCTGTGAACTGTGCACCCTTTCAACTCCAAGACAATTGTGTTACATCTCTGAAAGAAGATTTGGCTGTTACATCATATTGGGTTATTAGGTTCGCTATGATCCTACCCTATGTCACTCTTTACTTTGCTAACGAGAAATAGATACTGATTAACGCTAGAGGCATTTTGTTTGACATCAAACGCTCAAGATACACAAGGTTGAGTGTTTGTCCGCTAGAGCGAATCCTGCTGGGTAATCTCGAAACAAGAAGCATCGACTGCGGTGAAGATGTACGTTCGTTATAATGCTCGATGAAAGTAGCGATAGCTTCGCTGTTGTCGTTGTTGTTAATGCTGTTTCCACCAGCGTTGATTCCTCTTTGATGCGTGTTTCAGTTGCTTCCCCAAAGAGGGGATCTGTTATAATTACAAAGATTTTGTTTCTTCGATTGCAGCGCACAGTACTCGATGAGAAAAGTCAATGCCCTCTGAGCCAATGGCAGCAGGGCCAAAATGCACAAACCAGCCGCAAACAACATTTTCCGCCACCAGCAGCACGACCAGCATTATCGCTTCTAGTGTGTCTAAAGTGTCTAGCTATCTATATGCTTTGGTCGGAAAGCTTATGGCAACAGCTGCTGCCACCGCCGCTGCTGCACATCGTTTGAGCAGCCCGCAGGCGCATACACGGAAGACGGCAGCAGTAACGCTTGCTACAGTTGCTCCCACTTCGACCTGTTGCTGTTGGTGCGAATTGACAAGCAAGAGAAACAGCGCCACAGCATTAACAGAGCGCTAGCACATGCGGTGGCCACTTGCCGTATGTTGCGCTAAGGACACAACGGATAGCCAGGGGAGAAGGACGACTCCTTCCTCCGATGTCCGCGCTCATGATAGAGCATCAAGAAGCCTAGTACATAAGGTAATAGGTAGCAAACGTTTTATGCCAGCGCGTCAGAATTCTCGATGGTCTATAGACTCGATTGAATCTTTTTCGGCCTGTGTTTACTTCGCTTTACTTGCTCATGGCATCATTGAATAGATGGCCATTGGCGGAAGGGTAACAAGGCATTCTCTCATATTCTACACCGTTCTGCATGTAGTCCAACGAGTATAGCTAGACGCGTACTCCTAGCGTCAACGTCGACATCATAGTCGTCCCTGACGAGGCCAATCTGCTTCGACAAGAGTTGTTTCCCCCCGAACGGAGAGTGGGCTTCACGCGTCTGCTAGCCTTAATAAAGTAGGAGCCTGACAAATACGGTTTTGTCGGCCGTATGGTAAACGTTTGGATCTAGGCAGCCGAAACGAAGCTACAGCAGCGCCAGGGCTGAGTAGCTAGAGGGTACACATATGCACATTGCATAGTACAGAAAAAAAACGGAAAAGGAGACCGATAAAACACGGGTTATAGAAAAAGAATTGACCATCTGATCGTTGGGCTACTGCTACCGTTGTTGTAGCCTAGCGTTTTGCCGGCCAGTATCAGCAACGGCAGTAACGACCTGGTACTACTACTGCTATAATCTGAGTGTTGCCACTGAGTGCATTCAAAACTGCAACGTTCGAATTGCTGATTAAGGCCGGATGCGAGTGCTAGTGTTCATAAATTAGTGGTAGCTGGAGACGTTGTAAACGGCAAACAAATTTCCATTGTTAGCCGTGAGATTATAATCCTCAGGAAGGTAGGAAGAGTATGCATCTGCGTGCCCGTGAGATGGTTGCATTCGCATGACGTCTGCAGATTGCTTGAATCCGTAAATTAAGAAGATGTGCAGAACTGCGTACTCATTTAAATGTGGATTAGATGTATAGCTATACCGACGAATCAATAGAGCTCAAGATCTACCTATACGAATCTGTATATGTAATTTAAAGTGTAACATCCTCGCAGTAATATCACGCGAGACAGGCAGCTGTTTAATGGGCTGACGTCTTCCAATCGAAGAATACTGAGCGCAGTCTATCAAGAAAAAATCAGCCATTCATGCAGGTCTGTCAAGTTTGTGATAAAAGTTTACGAAATAGTACGCAGATCTGGCGGCTGGATCGTAAGGTCAACAAGGACATAGAAAAAAAGTCAATATCTCGGTTCGTTAGTTGATGCCTATTAAAGAATTCACAATGCAAGTTGTGGACGTGTCCAGACTCCAACTCGACGTTAACGCGAATAACGTTGGCGAAAAACGTAAGTAAAGCTTTCACCTCATCAATATAAGTGTATTGATGTCAATTTCCTGTAAATTTTATAATGTAAATTACTGTGCTATTATTTGCATATTCACCTCAGTACAACACTTTTTTTCTCTTCTCCAGTGCTAGCGAATGTATTCACGTAGTTCAAGTTATCGGGCTTAGTAATCGGGGTAGAGATATCGATTCTTTGAAGCATCATAAAATTTAAGATAACTAAATTTTATACTGAAATGTGAATCTCTTTGAACCCTTCGCTGGGTGGGGAAAGTATTTGACATTGAAAATCCACTGGGTTTTGCTCTTGTTTAGAAGCTGTGATTTGTTTACTTTTATTGAGAAAATATCCACGGCGTCAGAGTGGCACAGATGCTGCAACCTCGGTAACGAATAAGCATATTCCTGTGTTATTATTCTGAACGTAAAGTTTGTTTTGTTTTACCTTGTTTTAATACTGCACTTTAAGGCTTCGTTCTTTCAATAGATCTGAAGTGTTCATAGCTTTTAGTTATCTCCAAACGAATGCTCCAATACTTACACTTGTTATTAATATAATTCAACTTTTTAGATATGCAAGCTGTAGGTATTTGAGACCTGTTTTCGTGCTATTCCCTGACAGTTCGTGTCTCACAACTCTCTTTTGAAATTAATGAAGACTGTAATCATTGTGCCTAATACACAAAACATACTTTCGTCATTACCGTTATTACATGCGAACTTTTTAATGAACATAAGTTGTCATGATGAATATTCGTTGTATGCTTTCATGGACTATTTGTTTTTCATTTTTATAGTTCAGGATTTCGATGCTTACCGAGCGATGACATAGTCATCGAAAACACATGCTGCGTAGTTGTTACTTACTAGATAGAAGAAGCAGTTGCTCCGTTGAGGAAAACGTAATAGGAACCTTTGTTTTTGGCTTAGTACGTCGTTTTGTATTTCAGAACTATTTGAACTATAACACCATCTGATCAATTTGCAGACTGACGAATAGCGTCAGGTTGATCTGTGTAGTTCTTTTGGCCACGCGTTTATTAAGGATACAAAAATATAAGACTAGAGAGTTTCGGACATGATACTTTTGTATGCTCATAACGTCACTGCTAAACTGGCAATTCAACGATAGTACATAAGTACGCTGTGTTTTAATATTCATGTTTATACTACTACATACTAAAGACATGGAAAGTTAATGGAGCATGAGAACTGCATTGACTGTACACTTGGGCATTTTCCAAGATGAACTAAACTGCTACCCATCACTACTTACGTGGCGCTAGTTAGAGTACAAAGACCCTAAAATGATTGCTTTCTATTATACTTTAAAAAGGCAAAAATCTGATTGTATCTCAGACTAAAAAACATGGGACACATAATTTTCTTGTAGTGCATACCATACAGTGTTGATATAAAAATGTCCTGTCCTTTGGCTGTTTTCATTATGGCCATATTTTGTAAGAAATAAATTGCACAAATTGATAAGGAAATATCTTCCATGTAAGTATCCGGATCCAGCTGATTTTTAATTTTCTTAGATATGCTAAAAATTTTGCTTTTTTTTTTTTGTTTGTAACTAAATTAATTGTAAAAAAAATTGTTTGTAACTAAATTGATCATCGTCATTATCTGTTCCAGGACTTATCATGGACGCTAGGTATGCCTAATTGTTTTCAGGTATTCAAATATAGCATTTATAGTTCAGTTGTTCTCGTAATCTAGTAGTATCGTCATACTGATATAAAAATGGCCACGTTGTGTGTGTTTGTGCGTAGCTATAATAGTTCCATTTGCGGCCTTCATACGGGTTATGACAGCGACTATTGTGTCTACGGAGAGGATTAGGCAAGGTGTCCCTGTGTACGGCACATTTCTTAACCTTATTTGCCAGTTTCTGCAAATCGTGAGCAAACTCCGATCCATCCGTGTGCCTTCTTGCCCTAAATTATTGTGTCGTTCATTGTGAAATAGGTTGTAACTAGTCTAGGTTTCTCTTGTAAAACTGAATCGTGTATGCCCTAGTTGCTTTCATATCGTAGATTCGGTAAACTTATAGCTTCTTAACGTGTTCGAATTGTTCCGTGGCATTTCAAGCTTCATCTACATGAAGCTACACTGAGTCCTAAGAATGGCTATGCTTAGTCCTGCTTATAGAATCCGCATGAACGTGATACGTAGTAGTGACAGCGTTTGGATTTCAAGCGTTTTCATTGTTGGGTTTGTGAACAACTGCTCTAAGTTTGCTGAGAGATGGCCTTCCGGATACTTGGGTCTGCACTCGAAGGTTAGTACTTTTGGCAGAACTTTGTTTTTGGAATACGCGAAGGGAATGTCGCATCCGAATACGTATAGAGACAGCCAGAAGGTCAGTGTACGCGCAGCTTCTGGGCTGTTCGACATATATACAATAACAAACTCGTCATCGAAGATTTTGGCTTTCTTTTTATTGATAACTTATGCCTTGTTCTGCTGCTAGAACGTCCGTAATTTGAGCACAAGTTTTGCTACTCAGATGTTGACCAAATCTACCTCTGAGTCGTTGTTATCGAGATAGTCGAGGAGAAACTGAATGAATACGCTGGCGATTTGCAAAACAAATTCAATTATTTTAAGGTCGGTTTAATTTAATAATTAATGTCCCGTTAGAGAGAAAGGCATTTTAAAATATTTTCGTTAACAAGCTCCTCTTATGAGCTAGTTTCGGATGAGTCTCAATGAACTGGCGTCAAAAGACAAGCATAGTATTTACCTATTAACGCATCGAAACGAGAGCGATATGAGTGCTTAACTTCTTTG